TGCTGGGCTCAGCTGAAGAGTCTGGTTCTACAATTGCCCAAACCAGTGGTTCTCAAAGTGGTCCTCAACAGCCGATGCTGTTGGTGCTGGAGAACCCGCACCAACGGCGTCAGCATCACCAGGGAACTTGTTAGAGGTGTGGATGCGTGGACCCCACCCCAGACCTACTGCATCAGACACTCTGGGGGTGGCGCCCAGTAGTCTGTTTGAACAAGGTCTCTGGGGGTTTGGATGCTCTCCGAGGTTTAAGAACCACTTCCCACACCATCGGGGAGGGATCCCAGACGGCAAATCTCGTCATGCTCCTTCATTTTACACAGGGGGAAACTGAGGCATTTTACAGCAAGGAGGAGGACCTAGCTCAAGTGCCACCGACAACCAAGTGGCAGAGGTGAAACCGGAAGTTAGATCTTCTGTCTGCCGAGTCCCCACTCTTTCTTCTGACTCAGGCAGACCTCCTAAGTCCAACCTGATTCCCTCTGTCACTGTCGGGAGGGTCACCATGATGCCAGCCACCATCAGGGCAGCGCTCCCTTTGTGCTGGGCACCATGCTCACCTGCACTGGCTCAATGAATCCTCATGACATCCAGTGAGGTTGGCACGAGAGCTAACCCCATTTTACAGAGCAGAAAACTGAGGCGAGAGAAAGGTCAGGACACTTGCCCAAGGTCACAGAGCTAGAAAGGGCAGAGGCAGAACTCAAACCAGCTTTCTCTGCTCCCAGAGCCCATGCTGTGGCTAATAGGACCACACCAAGGTTTGCCGAGATGGCCATTGGCCGGTGGTGGTGGTGGGGGGTGCTCTTCTCCAGCATCTACAATTCGGCTAAGAAACTGTGAGACAAAAAGCTTCCGGAGCAGGCAAAACAGTTGGCAAACAGCCGGTGCCCAAAAGCTATTGCCATTTACTCCTAGGAAAGCCCCTGGTCTGCACACAATTGTACCCACCTTGAAGTGAGGGGCACAGTGCAGATTAGAAGCGGCCCACCAGGAGGGAGGTGCAGTAGACGTGGTTCTTGCCCACTCACCCCCATTCCACTTTCTCACTTTCTTTCAGCTGTCCATGCCTCCCCCTAGCGGGGGCGTGCCTCACAACAAGGCTTCCTGAGCCTTTTCACAGCAGGGCACACGTGGAAAACCAAAATATTTGCACAGCATCCCGGCAGCCTGGAGGGTATTGGGGATATTTAGAAGTCTTGATGAAAATTTCCTGACACTTTCTTCCTAATATATATTAGGATTAGAAACCATAGCATAAAGTATTAGGGAAGATGTTAAAGCTCAGTTTTGTATAAAACTTCCAAATAAAACATTGTGCTGGATAAAAGACGACACACAAAAGGCCACATACTGTGTGATTCCATCCATGTGACAGTTTGGAAAAAGCAAAACCATAGGGAGAGAAAGCAGACCAGCGGTGTCCCCGGGCTGTGAGGAGGAGGGAGTTGACTGCGCAGTGGCACAGGGAAACTTTTTGGCAAGACGCATATATTCTCTATTTTCATGTAGTGGTGGTGACATGACGGCTTATGTTTATCAAAAATCATCAAAGTAAATTTTACTGTATGTAAATTTAGCAGCGGTTCCAAAACCTGTCATCTCCTCAGAATCACCTGGGGTGGTTTTGTTGAAAAGTAGTCAGGCCTCACCTACAAGCAGCTGAATCAGAGCCCTGTGCCGCGGAGTTCAGAGGGGGCAGGAACCTGCCTATAACAAGCCCCCCAGGTGGAGGGTGTGGTTGGGGACCAGGACTTTTGGGTCAGGACAGAAGATTCCAAGCTTCTGTCTCCAGCCCAGACCTGAACCTTGAATCCCAGACTCGTGGATCCAACCACTACCTGACCTCCACGTCTGGATCTCCAATTTCGCACGTCTAAAACTGCTCTCCTCACTTGCCCCCAACCAGCCCCACCCATCTTCTCCACTTCAGTTAATGGCAGTTCCATTCTTCCAGTAATTTGGGCCAAAAACTTTGACATCATCCTCAATTCCTCTCCTTCTCTCTCTCTCTTTTGCTGTTGTTTAGTTTTTATCTCATGGTCATAAACTTTTTTTTTTAGCATTTATTTATTTATTTTGGAGGGGGGATTAGCCCTGAGCTAACACCTGCTGCCAGTCCTCCTCTTTTTGCTGAGGAAGACTGGCCCTGAGCTCACATCCATGCCCATCTTCCTCTACTTGGCATGGCTTTTGCCAAGTGGTGCCATGTCCGCACCCGGGATCTGAACCGGCCAACCCCGGGACCACCGAGAAGGGGAACACGTGAACTTAACCGCTGCGCCACCGGGCGGCCCCTCATGATCATAAACTTAACTCTTCAGTCCAGCTAGACTTGAGGGGGAGAAGGAAAACGTGGAACCGAAAGAACTGCAGCCAGAGCATGAAGACGACAGGATGTGTAAGCAGCTGGGGAAACTGGCGGTTAAGACAAAACACAAGTCAAGGGGCCAGCCCGGTGGCACAGCGGTTAAGTGCACACATTCTGCTTTGGCGCCTCAGGGTTTGCTGGTTCGGATCCTGGCTGCGGACATGGCACCGCTTGGCAAGCCATGCTGTGGTGGAAGATGGGCACGGATGTTAGCTCAGGGCCAATCTTCCTCAGGAAAAAGAGGAGGATTGGCAGCAGATGTTAGCTCAGGGCTAATCTTCCTAAAAAAAAACAAAAACAAAAACAAGTCAAATTGCTTAGAGTCGTCCACAGACAGCAACGGTGTTCTTGCTGGTCTTACCATTCCTGGACCCAAAGTGCCCCTTGGCTTCTGTGAGAGTCATGTCCTTTCCTCCTTGCCAAAGACCACATGCCTGCCATCCAGCCACTCAGTCTTGGCAGTGCAGGTGAAAACCCGGGAACTGTTTGTGCTGGGGCCAGCACATGCCGTGGACAAGATGCCAGGACCCACGTGCTTCCAGATGAAATATTCATCATCAAATTTCTCCCTGTAGGGGGACTCTCCACCGGTGCCAGTATGCTGTGTGAAGTCACCAACCTGGCACATAAATCCTGGAATAATTCTGTGAAAGCAGAAAACTTCATAACCAAGTCCTTTCTCCCCAGTGCTCAGAGCACGAACCTTGTCTGCTGCCTTTAGAACTTAGTCTGCAAACAGCTTGAAGGAGACTCGGCCCAAGGGCTCGCAGTCGATGCTGAAGAATAGTGGGGTCGACCAGAGCAAGGCAGCACAGGGGGGCTCCAGGAGGTGGCGTCATCACCTCTGCAAAGCCTCCTCTCCTTCTCTTGAAATTCTCTCGGCTCTACCTTCTCACCACCCCAACTGCTAACACCTGGTCTGAGGCATCGTCGTCGTATCTCACCTAGACTCATGTGGGTTTCTAACCAGTCTCCCTACTTCTACCCTGGACCCACCTATGGTTCATTCAGTATGGTAGCCAGGGTGAGCATGTTCAATATAAGTTAGATCATGTCATTTCTCGGCCTCAAACCCTCCAGGGACTTCTCATCTCAGAGTAAAAGCCAAAATGGCCTCCAAGGCCTTCCCTGCTCTGACCCTGACCTTGGCTCCATCATCTCCAGACCTTGGCTCCTCCTTGCTCACACTGCTCCACCCACACTGGCTTCCTTGCTGTCTTTTGAACCTGCCAGTCCTGCTCCTGCCTCAGGACCTTTGCATATGCTGTTCCCGTGGCCTGGAATGGTCTTCCTTCAGATGTCCCCATAGCTTGCCACTTTACCCCCTTCAACTCTTCGTTAGACATTAACGTCTCAGACTGTACCTGATAGCTCCCCCTTTTTGCTCTATAGCACATATCACCCTGTAATATTTACTTATTTGTTCCTGTCTGTCTCCCTCGCCAGAACGTCAGGTCCATGAGGTCAGGGGTGTTTTTCAGTTATGTTACAGGCTGTATCCCTAATGCCCAAACCTGGCCCATAGGAGGTGCTTGATAAACGTTTATTTCAATGAATGAAGGGGACACCTGAAGCCTGGAGAGGAGGTGACTTGCTCAAGGTCATAGTCATGCAGAATCAGTGCTTTCACTCTTGGACCAAACAAAACACAATCCCACAGCTCTGGCCCAAAGTCCTTCTTGCTGCCATGCCAGGGCCTGGAACCAAAGCCGGGCCTGCTGGACCGCAGCCCCAGGACAGGAGGAGGGATGGCCCTGCCTCGGGAGGTGTCTGTCCGATCTGCCAGGACCCGGGGGTTTACACAACCAAGTCAAGGGGCTGCCACGGGAGAGGGGCTCCTCTGGAGAAGGAAACCTGTGATGCCAGTACCACGGTCCTGTGCTGGTGGAGGCAGAGACAGCCACGGCCAAGGCAAGGAGCCACCACCCCAGCGCCTCAGCTCCCTGAGTGCAGGTCATGGAGACAGCTGCTGGGCCCAGAAGCCTGACCCTACCGCGGCTGGGGGAGGGAGGAGAGCCAGCAGTCCCTGAGCAGAATAGCAGAAGGTGTGGAGCTGCTGCAGGCAGCCCACAGCCAGGGGCAGATTCCAAACGCTGGGGCTCCCTTCCCACTTGTCGCCCCAAACCAGCAGAGGGCGCCCTGGCCCCCACAGTCCAAGTTCCGGCACCTTGCGCCCTCTGGCGGCCACACTGGTTAGGGACGGAGGGGAGCCCCAGGTCTCCCCCAGCCACTGCCAGGGGAGGGGCTCCAGCTGCACAAGTGAAGACCCAAGGGCTAGGAGGATCAGCAGCCCTGGGTCTGGCCTGGGCCCACCCTGACCAGCAAAGTGAGGCCAGCGATGACCACTACAGCCCCAGTGGGTGAGCACTCACTGTGGGCTGGTCCCTGGGCCAGGCTGCGTTACACACACCCAGCTCAGGAGATACTCCTCTCCCACCTCCACTCTACCTGCGAGTAGACTAAGACACAGGGAGGGATGGCACCCACTCAAGATCACCCAGCAAGGAGACGACGCCAGGTCGGCCTGACTCCTCCTCCAGGCTGCCCTCCTGTGTCTCCATCTGCTTCATCAAGAATCCTCCCTCCCAGACCTCGTGACACGCAGAGAAGCTCAGCCATGGCTTAAAAAGTATAAAGTGCAAATACCAGCCGGCTTTTATTGAGGGCCTACTGTGTGCTGGGCACCAGGTCTGCAAGGGTCCTCCTCCCACCTCCCTGCACTTCCCACTGGCCAGGGAGGAAGGTTGGCCCTGGAAGGTGGGACCCAGGTGTCAAGCCAGGGAGGGGGCTGAGGTGGAGGTAGAAGGGGGCAGAGGGGCCCCAGCAGCTGGGTCCTCAGGGAGGGCAGGGCTCCTGTCTGCCCCCTCCTCCCCTCCGCCCAGGCCCTGAGTCAGGCCGTGCAGGGTAAGAGGGCCTGTGAGCTCTGCCCTTTCACCACGTGACCTTTGGAGAAGGGGACCCATCTCTGAGTGGTTTCTCCCGATATAAGATGGGTCCAGAGGGCAGAGTGGCCATGCCTAAGGTGGCAACCAGGTCTCTACTGGGTCTGTGGCTGCTGGTGGCAGCCTCTGCCAGTGATCTCCAACTCTGCCCCCTGGACAGCTGCGGCCTGCTCCTGGGCACTCCTCTGGAGTCACCACCTAGACCTAGACAGGAGACGCAAGAGGAGAGAATAGAAGAACTAGGGGCAGAGAGCGAGGGGCAGAGACAGAAACAGACACGGAGAAAGTCAGAGAGACAGAGGCGGGCAGAGAAAGAGTAAGCGCTAGAGGTGCACAGAGAAACGAAGGGACAGCCAAACACACAAATAGAGACAGAGACAGAGCAGACAGAGGGAAGGAGAGAAAGAAGACAGGCTGAGACCAAGACACAGAGAGTCAGCTCTAAAAGGGAGAGGCAACCGAGGGCCCCCTCTTCCCAGCCCGCCCTCACCTAGAGCTCATCCCTGGGGTGGGGATGGAGGCTGTGCCCACTGCTGCCAGCCAGGTCCAGGCGAGGGTCACGCAGGGTCTTGTGAGAGCCGCGCCAGCTGATGAGGCGGCCGCTGTCATCATCCCAGGGTGAGGATGTCTCCGTGTCGCTGAGCCACTCGGCATCCCCCGCATAGTGGGTGGGGGCGGCAAGCAGGGGCCGGGCTGAGAAGGCCCGCAGGTCCCGTGGCCAGAAGTGTGCCTTATACTGCTCGCTGTGAGGCAGAAGGATGGCTCAGGGGGGCAGAGGGGGGCTGAGGTGGGCCCCTCCACCCAGACCGCACACCTGTCTGGAGCCAGGCACCTCACTGCCCTCCCCATCTAGACCTCACAACAAACATGAGCGGCAGGATTCTCTGATCCATATTTTCCAGAGAGGGAAACTGAGGCTCGGAACAGGGAAGTCACTTGACTAAAACCCACATGGGCAGTACAGAATTCACACCTGGGTTGGTCTGACTCTAGGGCTAAGCTGGGCTACTCCTCAGTGGCCTGGAAGAAGTGACTCAGCCGTGCCAGCCTCGGCCTCCCCACCTGCCCAGCGAGAGGCGGGCTCCCAGGAGAGGAAGCCCTGCCCTGCCCCCACCAAGACTCACTTGGGGTGCTGGTCAAACATGATGGGCAGGAACTCGTCCACGGGCAGCATTCGGCGTAGGGGCTGGGAGGCCAGCAGCTTGCGGGCACCCGCCAGGCTCAGGACGTATGCCAGTGTCCAGTAGGAGTACCCGGCCACCACTAGGTGTGGCAGCCCCTCCACAACCGCCTCCTCCTCAGGGTTCACCTGCTTCCGGCCGAGGTAGCTGTAGGTGACACCAAAGGTCCCAGGAGTCACTGTAGGTCCTGTGTCACAGGAGCCCTCCCCTGCCCCCATCCTACAGGCCAGGTTCTGGGGGAGGGCTGACCAGGGCTCCAAGCAGGTGGAGGCAGGCTCCCAGGGGCCCACCCCTCTCCCTTGCCCCTGGGGGCGCAGGCTGCCTACATCAGGTCCCATGGGAGTTTCTCTGCCTCCACTTCCTCCATCAGCTGCTCCAGTCGCCCCCTGAAGTTGCTCTCAAAGCGCACGTCGTCCTCAAACACCAGGACCTGGGCCAGGCCCCTGGCAACCACCTGTGGTATACGGTGGGGGATGGCTTTTTAGATTGAGCCGTCCCCTTCCACCTCGCTAACACCAACCGACTCTCCCTGGCCTCAGTTACGCGCCAAACGCTCGGCCCTGGCCACGTCACTCAGCTGCTCCAAAGCCTGCTGGGGCTCTCACCGCCTGGGGACTGAAATCCCAACGCCTTGCTCTGGCATTCAAGGCCCTCTGGGACCCTCAGGAGGCAGGACACAGGATGTCCCTGTGCTGCAGTGAGGAAATGGAGATGTGGGGAGGTGGAACCACTTTCCAAGGACACACAGCCAGGTGGTGGCAGAAGCAGGATCTGACCCTGCATCTGCTGGACTCAAAGGCCTGGCTCCTCATCCCGAACTCCTGAACTGTCCTAAAGGAGGCTGGGCTGGGCGAGGGGTGAGGGGAGACCCTAGGCCCCAACATCTCTCAGAAACGGTACTTCCTGTAACTTTTGGAAATGTGAAAAGTACATGAAATCAGCTCAGTAAATGGTGAAATGTACGTCATCCTTCAACCTGCTCAGAGACAGTAGAAAAATAGAAATATAAGCTCGCAGCCATCTATTTTAGTTACAGTAGAAAACAAAGACACAGAGTGAGTGTGAGCCCTCCCGGGGGGTGCCTCCAGGTAGCGGCTGCTCCTGGGCGCTCACACCCCAGCCCTGCGCTGAGGGTTCCACCTAGTGCCAAGCAGGCCTTTCTTCTTCCCTCCAGAACACACCCAACTCCTTCCTGCCTCAGGGCCTTTGCTCACACAGTTCTCCTCTGCCCAGAAGCCTCTTCTCCCCTCCCTTGGATGGCATGGCCCCCCGGACCCCACACCAAGCCAGGAGTGCAGGCCAGTCCACACTCTAGAATAGCCTGACATCTCCCCTCCATGACAAGCTTGGTTCTTTCTTGAGCTGCATTTTCCTTGTTCCCCTTTGTATGCTCAGAGCAGAATATCGCCTAGCACACAGTAGGTGCTCAATAGAGACTGGAGAACGAATAAGCTATAGGGTTGAACACACAGAGTTAAAGCTGCTGACCGGGTCTTCATGCGTTCATTTCTCCACTGGTTCATTGGAGGGCTGGACACAGAGCAGTGGTGAGGGTGGCCCTGCTCTCCCTGAGGGTGTGGGCCGAGGGGCCGGGGTCCTCACCTCCTCCCAGATGGAGTAGTGGCTGAGGAAGCAGCCCACCTCGCCCTTGGTCAGCGTGCGGCCTGAGTAGGGGTCCTGGTAGCCAGGGAGCAGGTCCACGCCAAGGCTCCTCAAGATACTGCTGTTGAGTGTCCTGAGGGAGACGGGTGTAATGGGGTGAGGGCCGCCAGCCAGGGCCCCATCCAGGAGGCCTGGCCTGTGCATGTTGGGGACGGTCACACTGGAATCTGGTCTGAAGGAGCTTTCAGCCTTGTTACTGCTTTGTGTGGCCTGAAGCCATCAGTGACTGGACCTGGGGAACCCCTGAGGGGTGACCCTCAGGGGAGAGGGTAGCAGCATGGGGAGGCGGGTGGTGGCCTGAGAAGGATGCACCCCAGGACAAATGTGGAGAACATGGCATATACTTCTTGGGCAGAGGCCCAAGCAAAAAACAAAATCCTGTGGTCAAAGGGGCTGGTGGCACATGCAGCAAAGATCAGCAGGCACGTGGGTCATATGAGCCCTGGGTCCCCAGGGCACGTGACTGGCCTGCTCCCACTCCCACCTACCCACCAGGGACCTAAGTTCAGGATGGAGAGAATAACCCTGACCATAATAAAGACACCTAAGCTTTGGAACACTAACCATGAGTCAGGCCCTGGCTGAATCTTCACTGACCCTTACCAGCCCCAAAGAGCAAGGCACAATTATCTGCCATTTACACAGCAGGGCTGAGAGGCGGGGGTAACTTGCTGAAGGGCAGAGCTGAAATCCAAGCCTGGGAGCTCCAGATCCTGGGCCTTAACCATTGTACTCTCCTCCCTCCATCCTGTCCTATTTCTGTCTGCCCTGGGACTCCCTGAGACAGAACTGCTCAGGCCTTGTTTGAATACCTCCTAGAACAGGAAACTCACTCAACTCATTTGTCCCCCTCCCAGGAAGCTCTGAGGGACCTGGGGAGCCTCACCGGCCATCCACAGCATCCACCACCCGCCCGGAGATCTCCATCTCCCAGAGCGAGCTCAGCATGCGCTCACGGCGGTCGGGCCGGCGGGCCAGGCTGATGACAAAGACCTGGACGAGGCAGCGGAGTGGGTGCAGGGGAAGTGGGTGCAGGGGGAGGGAAGAGCCCACCCACCTCCTGGCCCCACTTCTGCAGGCTGAGGGGGCTTACCTCATCAAACCCCATCTTGCTGGGCCTCTTTGGGGGCCGGGACACATGAGCCGAGGCCCACATGGGGGGCCCGTCCACTGCAGAGGAAAGCACCCCTCAAACATGAGTCCTCACATGCCAGGGGCAACCCTGGAGTCCCAGCCCCCCTCAGCGGAATGCCCAGCAGGAAGGGCCCTCTGAGATCACAGAACCCACCTGCCTCCAGGGTGGAGATGGGGAGACTGAGGCCCAGTGGGGAAAGAGATTTGCCCAGAGTCAGGGAGTGAGTTAGGCTGAAGCTGGGACCCAGCCCGCTGCCCAGTCAGGTCCAGGGCCTGGGAGAAGGGGCACGTGGGGCAGGGAGGCGGGGAGCAGCCGCACAGGTGGGCGCAGGGGCACCCAGCCCTCACCTAGTGCTTCCAAGATCAGGTGGATGAAGTTGACCCTCTCGTCCTCTAGCCCCTGGTAGGATTTCACGGCCACGTTCATGTACCCGTAGCGGTGCTGGTTGCACACGTGGACCGAGACCCCTGTGCAGAGAGGCCGAGTGAGTGCTGGAGTAGGGGGCAGGGTTCTCAGAACCCAGCTGAGAAGTCCTAGGCGCAGTCCTGCCAGCGACCCAATCCGTGAGTCCTCTCTGGGACTCTCGGTGTGCCCACCTGTGGGACTGGAGGGAGAAAGGGCTTGGCCCAAATGATATCCAAGGGACTTTTCTGCTGAGATGGTTTATTCATTCAACAGACGTGTCAGAGCACCTGCTGGGTGCCAGGGTGATGGCAGTGGGCAAGACGGACAGAGTCCCTGCCCTCGGGGATTGAGGTGAGGAAAGAACAGGCAAACGCCCACCCCACAGGATGCCACCAGGCATTGCTCCACCCCCTAAACCTCTCCCACCTCTGCCCACCCCACCGCCCGGCCCAGACCCAGCACCCTCAGCTCCCGCCCACATCCTTACACTTAACCCCAACCCTGTCCTGCTCCCACCATGCTGTCCTCCACTGGCAACCAGAGTGGCCTTTTTTATTTCATCAATATTTGTCACCTTTATTATAATTACTTATTTATTCTTTATCTTCTATAGACCACGAACTCCTCAGGGGCAGGCACACACTATCTATTTAAAAGTTAACCCCATGCCCAGCACGCCTACCTTTCCTGCCTTGGCTTGCACCATGCCCCCTCAACCTACTGTGCTCCAGCCACCTGCCTGCTTATATTCCCCACCACCACAGGGCCTTTGCATCTGCTGGTCCCATTGCCTGAAATATTCTTTCCTGCTCTGCTTGCCTTGTCAGTATCTGCCCACACTTCAGATCTCAGCTCCCAAGTTCACATCCTCCAGGAAGCCTTCCCTGACCAGGTCAGTGCTCGCCTAAGCTCCCAGGGCACCTATAATTGAGAAGTTCTCCTTCCTGTCACAGTTGTGATTGGACATTGACTTGTGTGATCCTTTGACTGACGGGACTGGAGCTTCCAGCAGGGCAGGGACTGCCAGATTTTACCCACACTGTCTCCCCAGTGCCTGGCACATGGTTAGTGCTCCATAAATAATTGCCTGATTGGGGCCAGCCCCACAGCCGAGTGGTTAAGTTCGCATGCTCCGCTGCGGCAGCCCAGGGTTTCGCTGGTTCGGATCCTGGGCGGGGACGTGGCACCGTTCGTCAGGCCACGTTGAGGCGGCATCCCACGTGCCACAACTAGAAGGACCCATGACTAAAAATACACAACTATGTGCTGGAAGGACTTGGGGAGAAAAAAGCAGGAAAAAAATAAAAGAAGAAGATTGGCAATAGTTGTTAGCTCAGGTGCAAATCTTTAAAAAAAAATTGCCTGATGAAGGAATATATGCAAGTGCCATGATGGAGACAGACAGAAGAGACCTACTGGGGCAGTGGGCTCAAGACAAGCTACAGCCCGGAAGACAAACAGGAGCCAAGATGAACTGCAGAGTGGGGGAGGGCATGCAGAGGCAACAGCACGTGCAAAGGCCTAGCGGCCTCCCCTCACCAGCAGCCTGACAGGCGTAGGCGAAGACAATGATGTCATCGAAGGGCCAGGTGTAGTTGGGGTGAGGAGGGTAGAAGGCGAGCTGGGCTGCCCCCTCAGCCCGCAGGGATATCAGGAATGTGGAATGGACCATGGGGACACGGAAGCAGCCCCGGCGCTGGCGGTTCTTGGTGGGGAAGTACTCCGCTGTGCGGCGGTAGTAGCCCTGCGGAAGGGGGTTGCTCTGGCTGTGAGAGGGGCCCCTCCATCCCAGAGCCTGCTCCCCTGCCACAGCCCACAGAACGCGAGGCCTTCAGGCTCTCCCTGTCCCTCCTCCCGAGGCCCCCATCCCTGGCCTTACCTGGGGGGTGATCCCGCACCAGAAATTGGAGTAATAGGTCTGGGAGTCCAGCATTGGGGCCACCACGGGCAGCCCCTTCTCGATCAGAAGCCTCAGTGTCTGATTGTTGGTCAGAATGTTGTCTGTATCTGCAAACTTTGGGGAGCGGGACGTCACAGGCCTCAGACTTGTCTGGGCTGCAGCCCCCCAAGGATTCACTGGGTAAGATCCTTCCCCATTGCCAGAGACCCAGACTGGCTCCCAGAATCCAATGGAGTTCCCTTAGAGAGGTCTAATCTACAAACCAGTAGATCTGTTTCTGGACCAAGGATCTCATCTGGTGCACTGGCTCAGGGGTTGGGCCCAGAGATAAGAGTTACTGATCTAAGAACTTTATCTGAGATCTGACTTAGGGAGTAGATCCAAGGATCTACTCTGAACTCTAGTCCAGGGAACTAGGCTCAGTTTATACTCTGGGCTCTAGCCCAGGAATCTAGCCTCGGTATATACTCTGGCATCTGTCTCAGGGATCCAGGCTTAGTACTTAGTCTGAGCTCAAACATAGGGATCCAAGCTCAATATCTGGCCTGGGTTCAGACCCAGGGTGCTAACTAAAGGATCCAACCTACAGGTGGTTAAATCAGACAAAGATTTGTATCAGGGACAGATACCACCACCTGTGGGAAGCCCAATCCTAGGCCAGGCTTTCTTACCAGGATATAGTCAGCCTCCCAGTTCCTGGCAAAAGTCAGGGCTTCCTGCTTCAACTCCATCAGAAACTGGTGCCTTTCTTTGGTCCAGTGCTTGGGACCCTCTTCATCTGGGTAGGACCTGAGCAGGTAAAGAGATGGGATGTTCCCATGGGGTGGGTGCATGTGGTCTCTCCCTCGGAGGGTAGTGGACAGGGACGTGGCCTGGAGGTTGAGGCTCAGGGCTGCCCCGTCCTCTCTGGGTTGCAGCTGTGCCCATCTTCCCCAGGACCTTTCCCCTCAGATCACCACCTGGACTCCCCTTCGGGCCTCCAGACTACAGTCGCATAGTCATCGCCCACAGCGGCCAGCCACTCCTGCAGCATCTCTGTGGTGTTGTCCACGTTGTGGTCTGTGGCACACCTGGGGACACAGGAGGAAGAAGGGTGAGGGGCAGCAGCCACAGAAGGGCCAAACCCCGAGGCGGCCTTGACCCCCAGAGCACCAACACCTGCAAGGCTGGCCTCTCCTGGGAGCAGTAGAGGCAGATCTGCTACAGAAGATGGACTGAAGGCAGGCAGCTAGGTCCCAATCACAGGTCTGTGATCCACTACGTGACCTCAGGCAAGTCCTGCCCTTTCTGGGCTTTGCTTTCTCCTCCTGTGACTAGAGCTGTTCTCCTGAGCTCATGGGCTAACAGAATGCGAATGCATTTTGAAAGATGAAAAGTACCTTAACTTTGAGGGACCTTTCTTAGTTACCTTCCTTCCTTGCTGTGTGACCACAGGTCAGCCCCTTCCCCTCTCTGAGTCAGAACATGACAGAAGAGCTGCTGCTTCCCTCTGCCCGAAGGTTGTAAAAAAGACCAAACCACACTCCGAGCGTCCCTGAGAAGTACTAATGGGCCCTAGTTCCGCTGCCAGAGAGCACAGCCTCTCTTTTCCCGCGGAAGGGGCTCCCATGGTGGAGAAGGGTGCAGGCGGCTTAGCCAAGAGCCCAGGTTTTAGAGGATGCTGCCCCTTTAAGCCAATTCCCCAGAAGTGAAGACTAACTACGTGTCAAGTCCTGCAGGGGTGGGAACTAACTAACTCAAACTGTGGTAATTGTGGGCAGCCTCCCAGGACACAGCTCCACCCCCCAACCCAACTTTGGTGTGTTGTGGGGGGTCAGTTTGTCATTTCTCTCCGTTTATCCCAAGCCTCAGCTTAGGACTCCTCCCTGTTCTGGCTTCCACAGACTGTGGTCTCTGATTCCAGTGCCCTGTGGGGACACTTGGGGGGAGACACTCCAGGGAGGGGGCGCTACCATACTGAGAGAGGCTGGAATCAGCCCAGCGGGAGGCGGAGGGGTCTGACTCCCCTGCAGAGCAGCATGGTGGGGGGGCTGAGGGCACCTCCACAGGCTCCCCAGGAACCCGTGGTCCTGGTGATCTCTGCCACGTTCAGCCCCAGGGGACGCCAGCTCTCCCGTCTGCTCCACTCCACATCAAGCCAACCACAGGGCCCACTGGGTTGAGTTTGGGCTCTGAGAACTAGGGCATGAGGGGCTGGGCCCAACTTACACCCAGAGGAGGTCCCAAGAGGAGGAGTAGAAGCCGGAATGAGAAATGGGTGTCCCTGGGTCAGCCTAAGGCCTCAGAGGTCAGTCTTCAGGGCCAGGGGATGGGGGGGCGGCTGTGGGGGGCTGTGGAGGGCCTGTCGCGAGGGGAGGGGCCTGCCTGGGTGGCGTCTGGATAGGGAGCCCATGGGCCATCTGGGGCCTGGACTGACTGTGGGGCTGGGGGTAGATGCCCAGTGGGTGCCAATGTCCGGGTCTCTCTCACCAGAGGGCCAGCCTGGCCCGGGGGTAGTCCAGCCGCTCCAGCGCACCCAGGTAGTGGGGTAGTGAGTGCTCGGCATTGCGGGCCAGGATGGCAAGGACCACTGCGGGCAGCGGCGGCTCCGCGAGGCCCGCAGCCCCGAGCGGCGGCCCCAGCAGGAGCAGCAGCTGGAGCAGCGGGGCGGCGAGGGCGGCGCGCATGGCGGGCGCTCGGGCGGCGGCGGCGGCGGCGGCCCCCGGGGCTCCCGGCCCTGCCGAGGGGAGTGGGCGGCGCGGCGGGGCCGGGGCGGGGCCTGGGCCGGGGCGGGGCCGAGGCCGGCCGGGGTCGGGGGAGCATACCCCCAAAAAGTGGGCTCCCACGCCCCACCCCTATTCGCGGGTTCTCAAGTGTCTTCTCCTGGGCCGGGGGCACGCGCCCCAGGCGTGACCCAGGAGCGGCCCCCTCCCGGCTGCACGCCGGAGGGGGGAAGAGGAGGAGAGGGGAGGGTCTGGGGTGACGGCATCCGAGCCGCCCGGGCGTCAGAGATCGCTCGACTCCGAGTCCCCGAGCGTTCAGGCCCCGGGATCCGGCTTCACTGAGCGCCCGACCGCCCTGCCTCAGGATTCCCTGGCCATCCCTCCGACCCTGAGACCGGAGCCGTACACCCGGCGGGGAGGAGCCACCGGCCGCCGCCCTTCCCGGCTTCCCCGGCCCCGCCCCTCCTCGCCTCCCCGCGGGCGCCCTCTGGCGGGCCCGCCGGAACTTCGCAGGCCAGCGAGGCCGCGCGTGGGCCCGAGAGCAAGACCGGCTTAGGGGGCCGGGAGCGGGTCTCCCTGACCTGCGCGCGCTGTCCCGCCGCGGTCCGAGCCTGGCATCCCCCGCGTGTCGTCGTCCTCGCCTCCGTCGCCAGCACCGGCAGTGCTCCTCCCGCCCTTTAGGAGAGCAAAACCCACTATTAGACTGTAGAACGAGAGGGCACCACACAGCCCCACACGGTGACCCGGCCCCACTCCAAAGCAGGGGACACAGCCTCCCCTGGGGCAGAGTTGGGGTCCTGAGGCCCCTGCTGAGATGGAAGGGGGTTTCCAGCCTCTCTTAGGAGAGGGCAGGAAAGGGGGGTCACCTGGAGGCAGTGGTGGGTTCTAGCTGGTATCTGCCACTGACCTCAGGTCCTCATAGGTGACATCGGGCTGATAACACCACCCATCTGCGAGAGTGTGCGAGGATTCCTTGAGAGAAGGAATATGCTTGAGTCCTCTGCATGGAGCCTGGCACCCAGGAAGAGTTACTGGGGTGGGAAGATGGGACTGGAGGAGCCAGGCTCCTAGTCCCTTCACCCCCAACCCACGGGGAACCTGCTTTCCTATGGCACCTTTGGGTCTCTCTTCAGCCTCCTCCTAGGGTCAGGAAGGGGAGCTAAACCTGTGCACACTATCTCCACTGAGAGGGGAAGGGTGGGGGCCCAGTAAGGAATAGACTTGCCTAGTGATGGGGCAGTGTGTGGGGGCATCGAACCCCACAGTCCTGGTCTCCAGCCCAGCTCCAAAGCCACCACCAGGCCTCAATCAAAGCTTCCTAGGTGGGGCTGCTTCCTGGCCAGTGGCCCTGCAGTGGAAGGCCTGAGGCCCCACAGCGGCATCCAGGGGAAATATAAGAAGCCATTCCCTTGCATAGTAGCCTCTGGACGGAAGGCACTCCCAACCCCAGAACAGGGTTCCCAAAGCATGTCCCCCACCTTACCCAGCCCAGAGCCGCTGCCCATCCTATTGGTCTTGGGGGCTTTCAGATTCTTCCCTTGCCTCGAGTCCTCCTCCTTCTCCCTATGCACTGACCCCTCCCATCTTCACCTCCCTCCCTCCACAGTCCACACCGTGGTCCAGCCTGTCACTAATTCCCTTGCTTCAGGGTTCTTCCATCATCCCTGCCTGGAAAAACCCTATAACTGTCTTGCTTTGGGGCAGGTTGGGGCTACTGCAAGCTCACGATCTCTGCCCTCGGCTGGACTCCCACCAAGCCCAGCAGGCCCATTCCCCCGTGCTCCTGTGCTCTCTCCTCAGTGGCATTTCACATCCCCACAGCCCCTGAAGCCCCACTCTATTCCCCCTCCCCCCAGCAAGGATCTCCCTGCTACTTTTTGGGAGAAAAGAGAAGCCATCACCTGGGAATTCTCATTTCCAGCCTCCAAACCTTCCACCCCTGCCCCCAAGCGGCCTCTGCTCCCACCGCCTGGTACAATGGGAGAGGCCCCCTGTCCTCACACCAGAACCCCCCCTGGGCTCCAAATGCCACCCCCTCACCCTTCCTGAACTGCCAACCTCCCTCTCTTCTGGAAACTTCCTTTGACATTCCAAAGGACTTAAATCTCCCCCAACTTAAAACATGAAAACACCCGGCTGCCTGCAGGCCCCCAGCTGCAGCCCTCTCTCTCTCCCTTCCTCCAAACCTCTTGCAAAGCAGATCTGTGCTTTTCTTCCTCACCTCCCTTCACAGCTTGACACACACCAAGGCCAAGGCCGCTCCAGCCAAACTGCTCCTCCCAAGACCAGCATCCTCCTGGCCACTCCCCCCAGTGACACTTCCTTCTCATCTAAGAGGGCTTTCTTCAGCAGCTGACCACATGGACACTCCCTCTTTCTGGAAAACCGTCATGTGTCTCAACTGCGCACCTTGACCCAAATTCCATCTGTCCAAAACAGAAGCCCAATCTTTCCCCCAAACCTGCGCCCCCTATGGTGCCCTTACTCGGACGGCAGCTCCGCCCACCCAGTCCCACAAGCTGGAGACCTGGATGTTGCTGATGATAAGTCTCTCTCCCAGCCCACTCCATCACTTCATCCTGGCAGGACCACTCCCTCACCGTCTCCTGGGCATGGCTGCCTCTTTCTTTCTGCACTGCCACTTGCCTGGCTCAGGGCATCAGCACCACTCACCTGGGCCACTGCACCCTCCAGGCCCACTCCCACAAGGCTTTCTGCCTGGAAACCATTCTGTATTCAGTGGTCCTCTCTAAAATGCCTAATGTTAACACTCGCGGGCTACCCATTGCATTCAGCACAGAACTCAAACCCTTCAAGGGCATCGAGGCCCTGCATGGCCTGCCTGACACTTCTCCAATCCTCTGATGCCCCCTCCTCCCCCATCTCCTGCTCTAGCCAAATTGACTATTTGCAGTTTCCAGAACACTCCATGCTTTAGGACCTTCCCACGTGCTTTTTTTGGTTCTTCTGCTTGAACAGATCTTTCTCTTGCTGAGCAAATCCCACAGGCCCTCCAGTCTCAGCTTGAACTTCCTTCCTCTGGAAAGCCTTCCCCAATGTCATGTCTGGGGACACACACCCACGTGGAATCCTATATAATCCCATTCATTCAGCAAATATTTATTGAGCACATGCCAGGTGCAGATAGGACTCAAGGAACTGGGGTGAACAAGACAGACAATCTCTGTTTCCAGGGTGCGCACATTCTGGTGAGGGAGACACAAGGGAAACAACCAAACTGATTAGTTAATAGATAGTTTCAAAGGATGGTAAATACTGTGAACAAAATAAAACGAGTTAATAAGAACAGAGAGTAGCTGGGAGTGGGAGGCAACGTTGAGTAGAGGGGTCAGTGAAGACATCTCAGAGCAGAAGGGGAGCCAGTCAAGAGCAGATCTGGGGGGAGAGTGTTGCAGATGGAGCGATCACGTGGGGCCAAGGTCCTATGGTAGGAACAGGCAAGGCCAGTGTGGTAGGAGCAACGTGAGCAAGGAGGGTGTGGTAAGAGCTGAGAACCGCCTAGAGCCTGCAAGCCACGGCAGGATTTAAAATTTTTTCAGTGCAATAAGAAGACATTAGAGGGGGTAGGCAGAAGAGTGACATGATTCGTCTTAAAAAGACTGCTCTGGGGGTGGCCCCATAGCCGAGCGGTTAAGTTCGCACGCTCTGCTTCAGCGGCCCAGGGTTTCGCCGGTTCGGATCCTGGGCGTAGACCTAGCGCCGCTCATTAAGCCATGCTGAGGCGGCATCCCACATGCCACAACTAGAAGGACCCACAACTAAAATATACAACTATGTACCGGGGGTTTTGGGGAGAAGAAGAAAAAAAAAAAAAGATTGCTCTGGCTGCACCTCAGAGGGTGGAGCCATGGCGGCAAGGATGGAAACAGGAGACCCTCATACAGAGAGAGATGATGGTGGGCAGGGTTGAGAGTTGAGATGTAGAATGGAGGCAGAGCCCACTGGCTTGTGGGATTAGACGTGGGAGACAGAAAAGGAATCGGGATGACTCATAGGGTTTGGGACTGGGCTGGATGGTGGGCTAGTTACTCAATGGGGAAGACCTGAGAAGAAACAGTTGGAATGTGATCGGCTTCTGTGTTGGACTTTAGTTTGAGCTGCCTTTTAGACTCACAGGTGGAAAGATCACATGCCAGACCAGCCTGGCTGTGAGTTTGGAGGCAGGGACCCGCCCGCCTCCTTCACTGTTTTATCCCCAGCCCCAGAGCAGGGCCAGCTGAGCATAGGGTGAGCTCTCAGTAGAAATACGGTGGGGTCACTGATGGAGGTGGGCTGATCAAGCCCTATACTCCCACTTACACTCAGTTTTTTGCCCCAAAATTTAAGACACAGTCTGCAAAGGTAATATTTGGGCAAATTCACAGAAATTCTGAAGCGGTGGCTCTCCAAGCATGGTCCCTGGACCAGGAGCATCAGCCTCACCTGGAAACTGTTAGAAATGCAAATTCCTAGGTCCCTCCCCATACCATTGAATCAGAAATTCGGGCAGTGAAGGTAAAACCAACAAGCCTTCCAGGTGATTTTGACACAGGCTAAAGATTAAAGCTGCTGTTCTATGGGGCCTAAGGCTTCATTCTCCAGGTCATGTAGGATGCATGCCTGGCAAAAAATGATTGGGCTCCTCTAGCTGAATAGGACCCAGACCACTGTGGACCAACATCTAGGCACAATTTCCCTCCCACAGCATCCTCCCTCCCATCCCTCAGCCATTGTAGTTCTGGCCAAAGCCAGGTGGTGGCGCCAGCGCCCCAGGCTTCACTCTGGCTTGGGGCAGTCGAGACCCTGGAAAAATTGTCCCCCTCCCCAGGGCCTTCTTCCCTCTGAGGGCCTCAGTTCCAAGGCCTACCCACTGGCAAAGGCTCTGCAGGGTGGCCTTCATCAGGGAGAGGGGTGCTGAGGCTGGCACACCCAAGATGAGGGCCAACCTCTCTCCCTGGAAGTTAGAAAGATGGGCTAGAGGAGGCCCCTTGGTCAGAGAGAAATTAGGGGTGTCTGGCCTGTGGGACTTGGGGGTCAGGAGCCCAGGCAGCCAGCTCTGGTCCAGTGAACTCTGGCAAAACCCCCACTAACCCTCTGCCTACCCTGCCCAACCTCATTTGTGGTCTCAGGTGCCATTTCCCTGCCAATGGGAGGGGGCAAACTGGAGGTACCCCAGAGCCCAGACAGAGCACCAAGGTTGGGGGGCTTCAGAGCCTGGCAGCCAAGCAGGCAGGGAAGAGGGGCCCACAGTGGGGAGGATGCTTGGATGGAGCTCTTACCAGCTGCCAGCTTCAAATCTCCCGGGTTGGGGGCTCTCTGGGCCCCTGTCCTGCTTGGTGGCCAAGGGAGCCCAGGATCCTGGCCAGAGGAGGGGCCCACGCCCCGCTCCTTGTCCTGGGTGCAGCTCAGCAGAGAAGAGTCCAGGAGCCCTGCCTGGGCTCCCTTCCACCTCAGGTTCCAAGGCCGCTTCCAGAGAAGCCAGGGCTGAGCACAGGCTTGCCCCCCATCTGCTCCTCTGCCCCTCATCTTTCCTATTTGAGGGGAGACTGAGACCACCAGATCCCAGCTGGAGTCACTCTGCCCATTCTGCTTAGACCTAGCATACCTTGGCCTCTGCTCTAGGAATCTGTCCACGCCCCCTCATCTCCAGGGGTTCCACCCAACCCCCACACTCACTCCAAAGGACCACCCTCTCCCTCTGGGTCATGCCCTCCTCTCCCAGGACCCCAGATGTGGAGCTATCCTCCTCTGAGGCTCTGCCTGTGTCCTGAGGAGGCTGGGGCCAGGCCAGCTGTTTTTCCCAGGCAGCCAGCTGTTTTGCCCATCAGGAAGCAGTGCTGGCTCCTCCGCTAAAATCCTTGCTGTGGCTGGGCTGCAGCGTGGCAGCCCCGCTGAGCCAGGGCCTGGGAGCTGTTAACTCCTCTGGGCCCAGGCAGCCCCTTCCTCTCCTAGCCGGATCCCTTCTGCCTCCCCCCTCCCAGACCTGCAGGAGCAGCCTGTCACAAGACTTCTAGAGATCCCAAGAAGACCAAGCATTGCTCTCCCCACCCCCCTCAACAAGTGCTAACCCGCCCCCCACAACAGAGCCTTGTCCTCAGGTGACCCCAGGTGAGAGGAGGGTCCAAAGAGATAAATGTTACCCCATTCAGACTAATAATAATGAGAGCCATCAACTGACTGCTGTGTGCCAGGCATTGTGCCAAGTGCTTTAAATGTGTTGTCTAACAATTTTTACAACCACCCTGTAAAGTAGGGAGTATTTTCATTTTATAGATGAGGAAACTCAGACGTTGGAGTCTAAGTCACTGGCCCAAGCCCACAGAGTTGAAGTTTGAAACTGGGCTGCCTGCCTCTCTCAGGCCAGCCCTGGTGGCCCTGGAATCACTGTTGGTGTCGCTATTTGTTTCCCAGAGCCCCTCACCCAGGCTGTCTTTCCCTGGTCTTGGCCTCAGGAGCACCATCTGTGAAACGGGAACACTGATGGGTGGAATTAACACCCCGATCAGCTCCCACAGGCTGAGTCCGGGGCTGTGCCAGGCTCAGTGCTTAACACCTTCCAAGCATTTATTAACAGATCATTCCTCTCGCTGGCAGTGGTAAGCCCGGGCGAGGATCCCAGGTTTGCTGCTTCCCAGCAGCCTGGCTTTAGGCAAGTGACTTTATGTCTCAGAGTCTCAGTGTCCAAAACTGAATAATGGATGTAAAAACAGTATCTACTGCGTCCTCGATTTTGTGGTGAAAGGAGGAGGTAACATACGTAAAGTGGTTGGCTTGCTACCCAACGCAGAGAAAGTGGTGTGAAAGGTTAGCCCTTACTATTATGACTAGTGACCACATCTGGAAGGATCTGAGTGGCCTATCCACCTCTGTGTGCCTCCATGCCCAGAGGCAGCTGGCAGCCAGGAGGGCTCTGTCATTACTTGTGAATGGATGGACCCTGGTCTGGTAGTACTACATGGGGACAGCCTCCTTCAAGAGGAGGCGGAACTTGCCCAGACCACACAGCTACTGGGGTAGAGCTGTGGGCATCCCAAGGCTCCTGCTCTTAACTCCTCACCCCTTCTCTCCAGAGGCCAGAACCTGGTCTGGTGGGAGGGGAAGGAGGGGCAAGGGAATAGGGACAATCTCAGGGCTGAGACAGCCCAGAAGGTGACTGGGTTGTGGCTGGGTGGGATCTCAGGGTCTGGGAAAGACCCCTCAGGATGCAGTGACCCGTGCTCTCCCTTTTGTCCCCTCCCCCCTGCCCACCATGGGTCAGCTCCCTGGTCCCAGCCTAGACATCTGGAACTGGGGCAGACAAAGAGCTGCGAGGAGGGACAATAACCTTCTGTCCATTTTCAGATGCCGGGCCGGGCCTGGCCAGGGCTGGGGGCCGGAGCCCCGGCGAGGCGGTGCCAGGCCCCCCGCGGGCAGCGGACAATGTTGGCAGTGATGGAGAGGAGGCATTTCAAAGCGTTTTGTTCCCACTGACCCCCTCCCCGCCACATCTCGCCCCAGCTCGGGGTGAGGCCCCAGCCCCACCCCCAGCCACCCAGGCCCCTGCTCCAGGCGGCTTGGGGACCGGCCACATTCTTGACCTCAGGGGAAAAGTTTAGACTCTTTGCACCCTGGGCAACAATAACAGTGTCACAGAACTGATTTAGGAGCAGCACTTACCATCACAAAGCAGCAGACAAAGAGCCAGGGCTGAGAACGCGCCGGCCTCTGGGCCTGTTCCTCCAACCACGGCTGACTTCTCTCCTGGACTCTGCCTGGGCAGGACTGGGTACCCGGGCCCCAGACCCGGGGCACACCAGAGGAGAAGCGGAAGTGGGAAGGGAGCAAAGGAGAAGAGTGGGGGAATCCAGTGGGGAATCAGGGGGCCTGAGAGCTGCTTCCTGCTCCGCCACCGATTTGTTAAGTGACCCTGAGGAAGTCCTTCTCCACTCTGGGCCTCAGTTTCCCTATTTGTAATAAGGAGGCTAAACTATAAGGCTGAAAGCAGGATGTTCTGATCTTGCAGGCAGGAGGGTTTCAGTAATAATGATAATGATGATGGTGAAAAGTATTTACCGTTTAGTTCTGGGCACTTCCTAGGTGCCAGACACTGTGATCGCTAACCCCTTTCTGGCCCTCATCCCCTTTTATCATTTAATGCTCATCAACCTCACAAAGCAGGTGTATAATTAACACCGGTTTACAGTTGATAAACAGAGGCTCAGAGAAGTTGAGTCAATTGTCCAGGGCCACACAGCTTGGAGGCCGTGGAGCCGAGACACGAGGCAAGGCTGGTTCACTTCTGATTATGCTGCAGTGGGAAGGAGAGAGGGGCAATGAGGCAGCTGGACCCTGGTGAGTCCTGGGTGGGAGGGCCTCTTCTCCCAGCCAGAAGGCTATGAATAAATAAATGTCTGATTACCCCCAGAGGGAATTCTACCCCGGAGCAGGTGCCTTTAAAAAAGAGATTAATTCTCATCTGTGAACAGTTTGGCCTGCGCAGACACCTAGATGCAGAGGATTGGACACAATGACCTCTAGTGGAGACTTCCTAGGAATTAGAGGCAAGGTGGGAGGACATTTAAGGGCTCAGGGCCCTGGAGGCAGGCTACAGGTTCGAATCTCGGCTCTAGCTTTTTCTGGCAGCGTGTCCTTGGGCAAGTTACTTCAACATTCTATGCTTCATTTTTCCAACCTGTAAAATTAAATTCACCTGGTAGGAGTGTGGTGCCCATTTGGTGAGATGCATGGAAGGCCTTAGAACAGCGCCTGACTCAGTGAGGGCTGCCTGTTCCTATCTGGCAAGGTCCTTCCAGCCAGGACACCTCAAGGTGGGCACTGCGAGGACACTGGCATGCAGTCAGCTGTTGACCTTGCTTTTCAGGAAGAGGTTGGGCTTTGACTACAGCATGAGGGACTATGGTTAGACACTGAGAGCAAAGGGGGCCCTGTTCTCTGTGATCTGTAAGGCAAAGACCAACCATAGCTTCCCAGGGACCGAGGAGCTTGTAGCTTCTCTGATACCTGACAGGGGTTGCTTAGCCCTGGGCATGGTGTCTGGAGAAAGGACAGAAAGGGAAGGAGGCCCTGGGAGGTGCTGTCCAGAGTCTGCCCCCTGCCCCTTAAATCCAGAGGGACCAAACTGCATGTGGAGAGGGAAGGAGAGGTGGCCAAGGGCAGCATCCACAAGTCCTGGTGGGTTTTGAGTCCCAGCTCTGCCAACTTGCTGTGTGTTACCCAAGATGAGTTGCTAGCCCTCTCTGAGCTCATTCCAAAAGTCTTTTAGAATCCAAGATGTTCAAAGGAAACTATCACAGGCGCCTCTGTGATTCCACAAGTCTAATAAAAAGTTTGCTTGGCATCCAGGAGTCCTGCTCCCCAGACTACAGCCCCTCCTGGCTCCCCTCATCCCCAGACTTCACCTCCAGCTTCTCCACCATCCCTTCGGCTCCCCTCCCCAAACCACTGACACATGCACCACAGACAGAGGGCGAGACAGTCCAGTGGAAAATGTCACAGATTCTTAGGGACTCGTGGAGTGTGGGGGGTGGTCCTGGGGAGCCCCAACAAGGACAGCCTTCCCCTCCCTCACTGCCGGCTGTGGAGCCAGAGGAACACTCACCTGGGCAGAGCATCCTGGGGTCCCCCTCGGCCCGGGAGGTGGATGGCACTGCTGGGGCCGTCTCTGGCACAAGGTGACGTCCCTGCCCTGTTCCTGCTGCTGAGAAGAGCTAGTCAGGCAGGCCCTCAGGTGCCAGACTGCCCTTCCTGGGCACAGATTTTCCTGGCATCTGCTGGGCAGGAGGGCACTGGCTGGGGGTTGGGCAGACGGGCATGGAAAGATTTGGGCAGAGGTGTCGCCTAGAGGGCTTGTCCCCAGCCCCTAAATCCACTCCCTTTCTGGACACTGTGGGCCAAGGGTTCAGGAAGCCATGGGCCCTCAGGGGCATGGAGAGGGCTGACTTGGGGAGACTGATAGGAGCAGGCCCCTGCCTCATCCTGCCCCATCCCCCCTCATCCTGCCCCACCCCCAAAACAGGCCAGCACGGCCCAGGCTGAGGTGTTTGCTTTTCCAGTCTCTACACTGACTCCATTCAGAGAGGCCTTTCTCCACCCCCGGCCAGCAGCCAGTGAGCCAGGGCACCAGGGAGAGAGATCACCGCCCCTACCCTCTCTCCTTTGCAACCCCCTCCTGCCATCTTCACTGCAGCAACGTCAGCATGAGGGCTTCCTAGTTTTCAGGAGGGGCTCCAGAAGTAGGGGGACTGAGGCAGAGGGGGCCCACCCCAGAGTAGAAGAAAGAAAGCGGGAAACCAAATGGAGAAGAAGGTGGTGGGAGAAGAGGGCCATGAAGCGAGCCTGGGAAAGAGAAGAGGGACAGAGGGACGTAGAAGGGGCTTGGGGGAGAGCAGGGCTGCTCCTGGAGGGGGCCCCAGGCAGAGGTGGGGGGGAGAAGGGGCCCAGAATGGGGAACCACGGGGCAGAAACTGGCACAGGAGGCAGGGGGCGCCTTTACAGGGTGACCCAGGGGCTGGCACCCAGTTCTGTGCCATCAAGGTGGGCAGGGCCTGAGGCAGACGCTGAGGCTGGGAGCTCCTGACTCCCACCTGAAAACCAGCGTCCTGCTCATCCCCGGGACAGGAGCCCAGGCGGGGCTGTGACCTGGTCTGAGACCAGGGGAAGGAGGAGGGTGAAAAGTTTCCCCAAGTCAGAAGGCCATGGGGGAGGCATCTCAGGGGGTCCTGCTCTTTGCTCTCTCTGACTGTCACGTTGGTACATAAAGGGGGTAGAAAGGTCAGATGTGGCCTTTCAGCCCCGTGGGAAAAACTCTGCCCATTTCCCTAATCCATATTTATTGGTGTGAGACACTGGGGTGGGAGGAAGCCCCCTGCCCCCACCCGCCGCCCCAGCCAGGCCAGGTTAGCACTAAGAACAGGCTCCATGTCACCCAAATCCTACTCTTTGTCTCCAGATTGGCTCCAGAGTCCTCCCCCTTCCCTCCTCCCCTTTGCTCCCCCCGACCCCCCTTTGGAGTTGCCAAGCAACCGTGGAAGGGTAGCTGAGATATTTTCTTTATTACAAGCAAAAGCAAGACAGCATCACGGCCCCAGGAGGGGAGCAGGGTAGGGGCTGGGGGACAGGGCGTCTTATGCTCTGGGGGGACCTTGCTACCTTGGTCTGCTCTGGGCATGGGCAGTGGGGACGTAGGGCCTCAGAGCCCAAGAGAAGGTGGCAGATGGAAGAGAGTGGTGGTGGTCATGGGGTGGGTGGATGCACAGACATTGATCCAGTCTACAAAACGCTAAGAGAAGAAGTGGTGCCAAAAGACCCAGGCCCGAGTCCCTCACCTGTCACTCACCAGCTGTGCATTCTGGGCCAAGTCACTTCCCTTCTCTGGGCCTAAGTTTCCTCCTTGATAAAATGGGAATAATAACATGTATTATCTCATTTAACGCTCACATTAACCCCAGGAGACGTTTACTTTTCCCATTTTACTGGTTAGGAAACTGAGGCTCAGAGACGTGAAGTGACGTGCCCAGCAGGTAAGTGGCAGAGGTGAGATTCTTGAGGCCCAACTCTTTATTGAGAGGTAACTCACATACCATATAATTTGCCCATTTACAATGTACAATGGACTGGTTTGTAGTATAGTCACAGAGTTGTGCAACCATCACCACAATCAATTTTCAATTTTCATAATCCCCCCAAACACCCGGTACCTATTAAGCGTTCACTCCCATTCCCTCCAACTTCCCCTCCGTCCAGCTCTAGGCAAACCACTAATCTGCTTTCTGTCTCTAAGATTTGCCTATTCTGAATATTTCTGAAAATAGAATCAGATAGCACGTCTGAGTCCCAACTCTTTTTTTTTTGTTAAAGATTGGCACCTGAGCTAACAACTGTTGCCAATCTTTTTTTTTTTCCCCCTTTTTCTTCCCCAAATCCCCCCAGTACATAGTTGTATATTTTAGTTGTGGGTCGCTCTAGTTGTGGCATGTAGGATGCCGCCCCAACATGGCCTGACGAGCAGTGTCATGTCTGTGCCCAGGATCCAGACCAGTGAAACCCTGGGCTGCCCAAGTGGAGTGCGTGAACTTAACCACTTGGCTACGGGGCCGGCCCCTGAGTCCCAACTCGTAACTTCCAATTGCGCCAAGCTCCCTGGGTGCCGGGGTAATAGACTAAGAGGTGTCAGATAGTGGCATCACTAAGAAAATGGGCCTTGCTGTTAAACAGACTTGGGTCTAAAACCCGGCTCTATACCTGGGGGAAATAGCCTCCTCTCTGGGCCTCAAGTTCCAAGTCTGTAAAATGGGGCAAGTAATGGCATTTTTCACAAAGCTGTAGTGACCCATGAAAAGTGCTTAGCCCAGCACCTAGGGCTTAATATCTGGTAGTCGTTAACAGGATTACAATGATCCATGCATCCACCTATCTATTTATCCCTTTACCCAGGCATTTAATAAAAGTTAGCACCTTCTAAAGGTCGGGCATTGTTCTAGGTGCTGGGGATACAAGGATGAACAGGACATGAGCCCTGTCCACATACGGCTCACATTCCAGCGGCAAGACACATAAGACAGCGGATAAATAACAGGCTTTCAGAGAATGACACATGCGATGAAGACAACTGCACAGCACGATGGGATGAGGCATCCCAGGTGGGTGGAGGTGACTACAGATCCTCCTTAACTTACAATGGGGTTATGTCCTGATAAACCCATGGTAAGTTGAAAATGTCGTAAGTCGAAAATGCATTTAATACACTTCCCCTACCGAACACAGAATATCAGAGCTTAGGGGCCGGCCCGGTGGCACAGTGGTTAGGTGGGCACGTTCCACTCCTCGGCGGCCCAGGGTTCACCAGTTCGGATCCTGTGTGCGGCCATGGCACCGCTTGGCAAAACCCATGCTGTGGTAGGCGTCCCACATAGAAAGTAGAGGAAGATGGGCATGGATGTTAGCTCAGGGCCAGTCTTCCTCAGCGAAAAGAGAAGGATTGGCAGCAGTTAGCTCAGGGCTAATCTTCCTCAAAAAAAAATAAATAAATCAGAGCTTAGCCTCCCCTACCTTAAAAGTGCTCAGAAGACTTTTTTTAGTCTACAGTTGGGCAGAATCATCTACACAGGGGGCTGGCCCCGTGGCCGAGTGGTTAGGTTTGCGCGCTCTGCTGCAGGCAGCCCAGTGTTTCGTTGGTTCGAATCCTGGGCGCGGACATGGCACTGCTCATCAAACCACGCTGAGGCAGCATCCCACATGCCACAACTAGAAGGACCCACAACGAAGAATATACAACTATGTACTGGGGGGCTTTGGGGAGAAAAAGGAAAAAATAAAATCTTTAAAAAAAAAAAAGAATCATCTACACAAACCCTATTTTATAATACAGGGTTGGACATCTCATGTAACGTATTGAACACTGTGCTGAAAGTGACAAACAGAATGGTCGTGTGGGGACAGAAGGGCTGGAAGTGTAGCGGTTGTTGCCCCTCGTGATCGCAGGGCTGACTGGGAGCTGTGGCTTGCGGCCAGAGAGTATCGTGTCACATAGAGCTGGCCCAGGAAAAGATCAAAATGCAACATTCAAAATACGGTTTCTACTGAATGCATATCACTTTCGCACCACCATAAAGTTGAAAAATCGTATGTTGACATGATGCGGGCTGAGCAAGCTGAGGAGTCAAAACAAAGATTTCTTGGACTCACAAGGTCTGGTGGTAGTGCCCCTTTATTCAAAGAATAGCATGAGGACAGGACCCATGGGCAGTGAAGAGCTGCAATGTGTTGATTGAGGGTTAGGGCTAAATTTATATTTACCCTTTTATTTTTTATTTTTTTTAGGAAGATTAGCCCTGAGATAACTGCTGCCAGTCCTCCTCTTTTTGCTGAGGAAGACTGGCCCTGAGCTAACATCTGTGCCCATCTTCCTCTACTTCCTATGTGGGACGCCTACCACAGCATGGCTTGCCAAGCGGTGCCATGTCCGCACCCGGGATCCGAACCAGCGAACCCCGCACCGCCAAAGCGGAATGTGCGCACTTAACCACTGAGCCACTGGGCCGGCCCCAGGGCTAAATTTATAAAGCACGCGTATGTGATTTATTTTTACTAGACAAAGGAAGATGATGTAAAAAGTCAAATGGTATCAGTGCAGGTGGGGTCTGGTTATCGGGTAGTCGTATAACTTTAGCTATGAATCGGATCATATAGATCGGCACGTAGGCCAGGATGCCTTGGGCTCCTCTCCCTGGGCAGACTGGATCCCCATCACAACCATCGTAAGTCAGGCACTGTCTGTCTCTTAGATTGGAAGGCTCCCCCGCCCCGCCTTCATCCAACTCATGAAGAGGAAGATCTTTTGTGAACTGAGATATGCTCTGCTGGGTAGAGGGGTTCTTAGCATCCCCTCTGAGTGGGGACAGTGGCCTGGCTTTGTCACTTTCTGAGCCTGGGGATGTGTCAGTTTGTCAATTCATTTTCAAGGCAGGCCACTCAGCCAGTCACCACATAAGAGCACTGGCTACTCTTTTTTTTTTTTTTTTTTTTTGAGGAAGATCAGCCCTAAGCTAACTACTGCCAATCCTCCTCTTTTTGCTGAGGAAGACTGGCCCTGAGCTAACATCCATGCCCATCTTCCTCTACTTGTATGTGGGATGCCTGCCACAGCATGGTTTTTGCCAAGCGGTGCCATGGCCACACCCGGGATCCTAACCGGCAAACCCCGGGCCCCCGAGAAGCAGAATGTGCGCACTTAACCGCTGCGCCACCGGGCCAGGCCCCGAGCACTGGCTACTCTTAAAGAACCCTGTACAGGAGCCAGCCCGATGGCACGGCGGTTAAGTTTGCACGTTCAGCTTCAGCGGCCCAGGGTTCACTCGTTCAGATCCCTGGTGCGGACCTACACACTGCTTGTCAAGCCATGCTGTGGCAGGTGTCCCACATACAAAGTAGAGGAAGATGGGCATGGATGTTAGCTCAGGGCTAATCTTCCTCCCCCCCAAAAAATTTAATTAATTAATTAATTAAAGAACCCTGTACAGATGAAGCAATTGGAGTCTAGAGCAGGCAAGGGCCTGGCCCAGGGATGCACACTGAGTAGTGGCAGGGCTCATTCTTCGATCCCAGGCTGCAAGGCCAGGCCACAGTGAAACTGGACTGATGGGAGCATTTGAGGACATGACTCCAGGGTTGGAAATATTCAGCACAGAGGTGCAGCCTGACCGACCTGTCGCCACAGCTGCTCCCTGGGTACCTGTCTGCCACACTCCAGGTCTTCGACCTGCCTTTGAAGCACAGACTTGAGGCCGCAGCATGAAGGAAGCCCCCTTCAATGAGCCCCACCCACAGCAATGCCCCTAGTTCCACACCTAGAACCTCAGCTGACTGGCTACATTCATGCACCCACTGTCAATTCTTTATTGATTTCATCTTTCATTCAATTGTCCCAACATCTGTTTTTTCATCCATTTATCTGTCTGTTCATGCACCCATTCATTTAATTATTACTTCAATAAAACATTCATTCATTCATTCATTCATTTAACAGATGATTACTGAGCATGTCCTTTGTGCTGGGCACAGTGTTTGGTTAAATCCTTGGGAAAATCCCAGTCCTGGGGGAAGGGCACGCTTAACTGGTAGTGTGGACAACTTTGTCACCTTCTTCCTGAATTGATCTTAATAAGGGAGAAAGTAGAGAGCAGAGGCTAGGAACAGTTGAGCACACGTGTGAGCCTGAACATGGATCCGTGTGTGTGCGTGCGTGTGTGTGTGTGTAGTGGAAGATAATGATAAAATCTTACTGCCAGCAAATGCAAGGTGTGTTCGGATCCTCCCAACACCACAATGATCTCTAGGGAGGCAGGACAGGCATAATGGCCCCATTTCACAGAGGCAATAACTAAGGTTCAGTCTATTGGGATTCATTTATGCTGGAAGCCCAAGGCAATGCTGCCTCTTCCAGAAGTTTTCCCACATCCTCCCTGCTGGAAAGAATCAGTCTTCTATAGTCCCAGAGAAGTCTGCTAAGCCTTCAGCTAAAGTGTTTCCCTGCAGCTCTCTCCTCTCTCTGGGGCTGGCTGGGTCTTTGTGTGTCTCTCTGTCCACCGGACAGCTACTTGTGCCGAGGCAACATCAGACTCTGCTCAACTTTCTGTCCCCCGCTCTCCAGCCTCCAGCACACACATAGTGCACCTCAGGGGCTCACTAAATGTTGCTCATTGCCAATGACCTCCCTGAGGTCACCGGATTGTTAAGAACACAGTTCAAGACCCTGCTCTGCCGTCACCTAAGCCCAGCCCACCACCAGCTCACCTGTAAACCAGCAGTAGCCTAATCCGTCTCCTGTCGTCATCTAGCTTGCCCCTTTTCCGCCCGCCCCTCCTTCTCTACACTCCAGCCCCAGTAAACCTTTAAAAATGTAAATCTGAACTTGTCAGACCTTTCAGGATCCCCACTGCGTTTAGGATAAAATCACAAATCCTCTCAACATCCTTCAGGGCCTGGCAGGGTCAACCCCAGCTTTATTTCGCACTTCCTCTTCCTTTCCGTGCTGCCGCCACCCGCATTTCTTTCCTTCCCCAGACTCACCAAGTTCTGTTGTGCTGTTAGTGCTGGAGTGGGCCGCTCCCCCCACCTGGAGCAGTGCCTGCCTCAGCACCCCACCCGCTTCACCTAACCCCGGCTCCCCGGGCCGCTCGCCTCCCCCATGATCGGCCTCCGGCCTCCGCTGTGCATTTCCTCTGGGGACAGCTATCTGCTCACTGCTGAGTCCCTGACTAGCACACAGTAGGCATTCTGTAAACATCTCCTTCAATGACTAGCATTAGGATGCTTCTAGGCTCCTCAGTTTCCCTGTGGGTGAGGGTGAGGTGAACTGACCCTTCTCCGCCCAGGACTGCCGGCTTTAGGCTTTACGTAGCTGTGATACACCCTGGAGGTGGAAAAGTCCTCCTCCTAGAATGGAGCTGCCTGACCCGTGCAGAGACCACTCTGGCCTGCTCCGTGAAGGCTGTGTTCCTGCCAGGCCGGGCTGGGGCTGGGACTGGATTATAATTTAGAAGCAGACACAGGTGTCTCCCGGATTTCGCCGTCTTGAGTGCGCATTTATGCCTGTGCCCTCTGTATCTGCTCAGTAAAGGCTGGGGAACGATAGCGTGCAGTGGGTTTGACAGCCCTGGGTTCCAGTCTGGCTCCATCACCTGCCAGCTGGGGGCTAAGGACTTAACTGCCACCAATCTCAGTTTCTTCATCTGTAAAATGGCGCTGGTAATAGTACCCATTCCCTAGGGTTGTTGTGAGGCGTCAACAAGCTACTGCCTTTAAAGCACTTAGTGGTGGCACACACGGGGCCCGCTGTGGTTATAGTTGTTAGTATTATCAGATGGAGAATTATCGGGAGTTGGGACCTGGTTAGCAGGCGCCTTCCCTCGCTATAAAACCCTGACTCAGAAGCCATATTTTTTCAACTTTCATAAGAAACTCCAAGAAGTTTATGTGGTTCATTTTTAAGTCACCAATGGATGTTCAATGATTGGTTGGGAGGAGGGCACTGTCCTGGGCCCTGGAGGCACAAAGATCAGTAGGACCCATTTCCTGTCTGAATGAGGAGACTAGACAAACCAATAATCACAATCCCATGAGGGCACATGGCAGGGCGGCCCACAGACTGTAAGGATAGGAGATTTCAAGGTAGAGCAAGGGCGTTTGGGTGCCAGGGAACCCTGGGGTGCACGGAGGGCAAAATGTCTGGTAAGAATGGGCACGCATTCTCCTGCAGGGTGTGAGATCCATTGGGAAAGAAAGGCTGAGCGTAGAGCCTCGTAGAAGTGAGAAACTGGGCATGTATGCCCCCAGTAGACTGAGAACCTTCTCTGCACCAGACCTGGCTGAGTGGGGGTGGAGAGCACATCAGACCTAGACAGAGCCCCTGCCCTCCTGCACCCATGGGCTGTCCAGTGGAAGAGAAAATGATGAGACAAGAATTAATAGATTCCACACCCCTCTCCCCCCATCCCCACCCCAGTGCTAGAGCTGAGGTATCTAGGAGTCTGCAGGGGGTATCTTGGGAGTCAAGCTCCTGTCCTTGGTCAGGGAGAGGGCAGTCTTGAGATGCCTAGTGGGGGGTGTGGTCTCTAGGCTCATCTTCAGCCTGGAGGTTGGGACTGCCTCCTTTCCTCCCCTATCCTTCAGTATAGCCTTTTAAGGGGGTGACCCTCTGATTTCCACCTACAGGGTGTTCCCCCTCACCCTCCAGCTAGAAGCCCCTGGGGCAAGAGTGTAAGGAAGAAGGGCTCTAGAGGCCTCAGGTTTAGCTGCAGATCGGAGGCCTTAAAAGATTCTGGGGTCCCCTAGGCACTCTTGGGGAGCTCAGCCAAGGCCAGAGGCCTGAATTAGGTCCACGGGGAGTGCAGGGCAGGGATGCGGGTGCCTGGCCCAGGAGGAGGGAGGGGGCGATGGGCAAAGGGTTCAGCCCAGGGAGCAGGCAGGGCATTGGGAGTCTAGGACGCAGGGTGGAGGTGGGAGGGCGAGGGGTCCGGTCGGTGCAGAGGGGGGGCAGCCCCCGGGGAGGGGCACGCTATGTCTTTAAGAGCTGCCTGAGCGCAGGTTGCAGCTGCCTGGCCAGCCCGAGAGACAGCGGAGATTCATTACCCGCCGACACAATGACCATTGATGGCCCCGTGGCGTTATTCAAATCCAGTACCAATTGCAGCCGAGCCCCTTTCTCCGCGCCAGGCCCGTATTGTTGGAGCGGCCCACTAAAAGCCCGCCCCGGCCCCGAGCCGCCAGAGGCGCCCGCTCGGGTTCAGCCCTGCGCCTCGTCAGCCCGCCGGCTCCCAGCCCGGCTCCCCGGGCGCTGCAGGTGACCCGGCGGCGCATTCCAGCGCTCCCCGCTGCCCGGGCCACCGCCGCCACCGCTACCGCCGGCGTCCCGGCCGCGACTCAGCCACAGGGAAGCGGAGAGCGCCCGAGCCGGTGCGTGCGCGGGGCTGGGCGGGGACGGGGGACCCACGAGTCCAGCAGCCCGGACCCGGGGCTCGGAAACGCGACCCGGCCTCGGCGAGGCCCCTGCTTTCCGGATTCCCGGCGAATCCAGGGAACCCAGGCGGGGGGCGGGGAGAGGGGAGTCGGGGTTCCCCAAGCCTGACAGAGGAGATTCCCCCGACCTGGGGCGGCGCAGAGACCCAACGCGGGCTACTCTAGGGACCCCTGGCCGCGACTGAAGGAGAGACACGCCAGGGGCGATGGGGATCCCCACGCAGGGTCGGGATCCGCGTGCTTGCTCGTCCACCTTACCGCCGGATGGGCCGCGACTGCTGAGCGTCCTGCGAGGTAGTCGGACGCGCAGCTCTGGAGATCTCCTGGTCTGGCGCTTTTAAGGAGCAAAGCGGAACCCCGCCGGACACCCGGGACCCTGAACTCAGGGGCTTCGCCACTGATTGTCCAAACGCAATTCTTGTACGAGTCTGCGGCCAACCGAGAATTGTGGCTGGACATCTGTGGCTGAGCTCCGGGCGCAACAGGGGCGGGAGCCGCAGGGACAGAGCTCAGCGCGGGTGAGACCCCTCGGGGCGGCGGCTGGCTGGCCCCAGCGCGAGGATCGCGGCCCCCGCCGGGCGCGCAAAGGAGGGACGCCGGTCCCTGCCACCAGCGCCGCCATCCTCATCCTTGTCGTCGTCGTCGTCCTCCTTCTCCTCCTCCTCTGCGGGTGACCAGTCCTGGCTGGCGGGGTTCTCCAGTCGATCGCGTCGTTTTTCCCTTTTTCAAATTTCGGCCGGGAACGAAGCTGGCACGCCGAAGCTTGGCGGGGCCTGAATGTGGTCCGGGGAGCCCGCCCTCGGCCTGAGCCGCAGCAAGACGGGGGCGAAATAAGATGCCGGCGGAATGCGCTCGCCAACTCGTTTTGAATTGGTTCTAACCTATTCCCCCACCAATACCCTCAAAACAAAAAAGCCTAAACTGGCCCCTAAATCCCAAATAAACTGACTCCTCCCGCCAGCCCCTCCAGACGGACCGATGGGCTGAGGCACCTCCAGCCGCTGCCGGAGTCGGAGAAGCGTCGGGAATGATGCGCTCCAGCCGGGCAATCGCCTTGGCTTTGGAAACAGAACTTGGACAAACGAATCCTTTACATTAAAGACAAATCTTCCGAGATAGTGGGGTTTATTTATTCGTTTATTTCTTCAAAAGTGGGGGTTAGGAGTTGCCTAGGGGGGGCAGTTGGGCGTTCCTGGGGCTGAGCCCAGGTCACCTGTCCTCGACCCCTCCTGGGCTCAGGGCTGAAAATGACCAGAAATGCTGTGGAGAGAGCGTGGCCCTGGCTAATTTTAGCCACGACACTGGCATCGCTCACCACAGTGGAGAACCCGGTTTTCCCAGTGTGTCCTCCTGCCCTACTCCTCAGCAGTAATTGGGGTGCAGTGGAGGAAGGGATATCCCATATCCACCCCCTCCCCCACCCAGTGCACGAGAGAAAGGAATCCTATTGCCCAGTTTGCAGGACTTGGAATCCCCGGTGGGACAACAGGCCACTCTAGTGGGGCTGGAGGCAGGAAGGGCCATCCAGGTTACAGGAATCAGGGGACAGGCCAATCCTCTACAGTGAGGCTGCAGGGGGCCATTTTCAAGTCCCTTTCTCTGTTCCCTAACATGGAGACCCTGACCTCAGCACCTAGTGCAAGTTGGTCATACAGCCTCTCTAGACCCCACCTGCACCCCAACACTGACCTTGATTTGCACCTAAACACCTCCTACCACTAACCCCACAATGGCTACCTCCACCCACCCCTGGATCCCCTGGAGCCCCCTGCTGCCTCCACCTGCAGCAGTGCTGAAGAGAAGCTCACCAGCCAGAGGGTCCTCTGTCCTCTAAGCCTTGATAGTGATGTATATAACATCCCCCCAACACTGCTGGTACAACCATTTGGCATTTTCACCTCCACCCAATGAGAGAAATTCCACTTTAAATTATTGACACTTAATGAAAAGCAACGTTTTGGGCAGGATGATGTTCATGCCCTATTTTTTTTTTTTTGAGGTCTCACTCCAGAAAACAAAGCTTTTCCTCCAGCTCATGGGAAGGGGGGCTCAGCAGTCTTATCTATGCCACTCCCATTCCGGGTTCTGGGGCTGCAGCTGGTGGGACAAAGCCTGGCCTTGGACAGATGGGTAGGGAAGTGTTCTGGGACCCAGACTGGTCAGCACAGACTGGCTCTGCCACCCCTTTCTCCAGATGGCCCTATCAGATCACCCCCTACCAGACAGTCTGGGTAGTCTGGGTTTCAAGCCCTGCCCCCTTTTTGGGTGAAGGGCAGCTCTGAGAGCCCTAGGCTGAGGGCAGAAAGGCTGGACCAGAGACCATGGCTGGGGGCATGTGGGGTGCCACTACTTTCTAAGGATGAAGCTCCAGGCAAGGCTAGTAAACAACCTAGTCTTTTATTTGCCCAAGGCCAGCTGTTGCAGGCACTGAGGTCCCAAGACTTCCAGAAGGGGTGGAGGGAGGAGGGGAGAACCATCCTGCCTACCAGGTACTGCCTGCCCCGATCCTGCTTCCTGCAGGAGGTGGGAAGGGAGAGAAAGTCCACATTTGTGCCATCAAATATCACCCCAGTTTTCAGATACTATAAATATTCAGTTGTTGAGGAGGAAACTGAGGCACATTGACCCTCCCCCCCAGGCCTCTATTTGCCAGTCCAAGGGTCAGCCTACTCCCTCCCTCTCTCCAGAATGAGCTGCAGGCAGCCTTTTGCTGGGGGAGGGTCTCAGGAGCCCATCTGGTGGCCCGTGGGGGGGAAGGCCAGCCAGGGTCAAGGGCTGGGGATGAGGGGAGCAGGAGGAGGGGTGTGGTTGGAAGAGCAGCTGCTGGGTGGGGGGAGGGGGTCAGCACTGAATAGGGGACCCCAGCTGGGGTTCTATAATGATATCAGTGGGGGACAGGCAGAGCCCTTGGCTGTCCAGATGGGGAAACTGAGGCGGAGACTCCTGTACTCTTTGAGAAGGGAGGGGCCTCCCACGAGCTATTTAGGTTCATTCGTCTTCCCCACTGAGACACTGCAGCCCAAGAGCTGGTGCGACTTGTCAATGGTCAGTGTTTAGGCTGAGACACAAGGAGTGGAAGGTGGCTGGGTCACCTGGGCGCAGAGCCCCTCCACTCTTGACAAACCAAGGGCACCCTCCCCCACTTCGGCTGCTGGGAGAGGAAGTGCTGGGCTCAGGCGCCTGCCCGCCTGTCTTCCCTGCTCACGTGCCTGAGAAAGGCTCATTTTTAGCACCTGGCCTCTTTTCCCTGCCTGGAGGGAGCTCAGGGGACAGAGCAAGGAAGAAAGCAGCCAAGGGGGACAGGGAGATCTGGAAGCAGGGCCCAAGGGAATGTCTGATTGTTCTCTTCTCGCCACCCCAAGGGGACCGAGGCAGAGAGGAACCCTTAGCCACCGTGCAGCGTGGATATGAAGAGGATGCTGTCCTGGTCCTGAAGCTGGTAATCCAGCTCACCCTGGTCCAGAAGAGAAATGGGGAGGAGACCATCAGGGGCGCTTTTCCCTAGGTTTCTCCCTAGGTGTTGGGAGGGCAAGGGGGAAGGCCTGGCTGCTTTGGGAGAGAAAGAATCTAACAGAAAAACGGGTACCCTATACATTAACTTGCAAATCTCCAGGAGGGAGGAGAGCTCCCCACTCCCCCCAGCTCCCCAGTCCTTCCTCACTTGGGGTGGGAGACTTGAGTAGCCTCAGTCTGGAGGCCAGGGTGGGAGAGGATTATCTAGCCGCCCCATTTGGGCCTGATGAGAGGCCCAAGGCTTTCCTACTGAAGCACTGAGGGGAGGGTTGAGGGAGGGAGGTCCCCTGAGGTACTGACCAGCAGTTCCCAGTCGGCGTCGTTAATCAGCACCAGGATTCCTGGCCGCCTGTGGGAAAGATGGAGGTGAGCAGCAGGGAGTGAAGGGCAGGAGGCTTCAGGAGCAGGGGTGGAGGGGCTTGGACCTTTGGGCTGCAGTAGAGTGTGGTGGGAGCCTTTCTTCCTGAGGTTCAGGTTAAAGATGTCCCAGGAAGTGGAGGCGACAGTCTGAGTCTAAAGGAAACCAGGTTAGGGGCCAGCCCAGTGGTCGAGTGGTTGAATTCGTGCGCTCTGCTTCAGGGGCCCAGGGTTTCACCGGTTCAGATCCTGGGTGTGGACATGGCACCGCTCATCAGGCCACGCTGAGGCGGAGTCCCACATGCCACAACTAGAAGGACCCACAACTAAAAATACACAACTATGTACTGGGGGGCTTTGGGGAGAAAAAGGAAGAATAAAATCTTTAAAGGAAACCAGGTCAGATAGTCATGGTCTTTGGGGCCAGATGGGAAAAGTGCTGATTCCAGCACCACCTCCCAGACCTCGGGCTGGTCATTTGTTTCTCTGAGTGTCAGTTTCCTCATCTGAAAATGGGGTAAATTACAGTGCCTTCCCCTCAAGGTCTGTGAGGATGTAATGGGACCATGCGTGGGTGCTTGCTTGCCAGTGTGTGTCATGGTAACCAGGGGCAGCAGCATCTCCTCCAGGGGTCTACCCTCACTCTCCTAGGCCTCCCACAGGCCTGTGCTGGAGAGGAGGCTCTCGGCTTTTCTGGATCAGGGAAGCCTGCCAGAGGCCCCGAGTACCGGAGCCCCCAAGAGCAGCCCTCCCTGGAGTGAGGCAGGCTAGGTTGACATTTGGATGGGCACCTCAGCCTGGCTCCTGCTGGCAGTGGCCCAAGGAGAACTGCTGTCCTTGGGGGTGGCCTCCATGACTGCTGGACCATGACCTGAGCCAGGGCTTGGACAGCAGCCCTAGCCCCCAGGGCTTGCTGGTGACCTCTGCTTCAACGCAGATGAATGAGTCCCACAAGTGCCCTGCCCGCCTCTTTCACACATTAGGCTGGCCTTGCTGTAGAAGTAAAGTGACTTCTTGGCACATGGAACCTGGCTCTCTTCCTAGGAGGCTGAGCTGGGCCTGGAACAGGTGTAGAAGCTTTGGGCTGGGGGAAGGGGTGCCCCAGTGAGCACAAATGTGCGTGTGTGCATGTGCACACATGCATTCATGTGCACATGGGCATAGTGACTCCCTGGAATCCCAGACCTGCACTAGATGCTCCAATATGGCATCTACTAGCCACATTTAAATTTAAATTTAAATTACAATGATGTAAAACTGAACATTTAGTTCTTCAGTCACACCAGCCACATTTCAAGGGCTCAACAGCCTCACGTGCCTAGCAGCTACCATATTGGACAGCACACATATGGAACATTTCCATCACTGCATGAAGTTCTACTGGGATAGCACTGTCCTAGATTGTCGAGGGATAAAAGGGACCTTGGGCAGCATCTTTTTCTCAGTACTCTCTGTATGGAGAGAGTAGCTGAGGCCCAGAGTAGTGAAATAACTTGCCTAAGATTCCACAGTACGTTTGTAGCAACTAGAAGTGGGAATTCAAGTTTTTTGAGAAATTTACCAGTCTCTTGACCTAAGCTTTTCAAAAGTCCAGTGTGGTAAAAAGAAAACTGAAAATAACCCTCTGATGGAGCTGGGTAGCAGCTCTTTCCTCCAAGGAGAAGGGGAGAAGGAAGAGAATGGGACTGCAGAGGCTGCGGTGGAACCCAGGCCAGGCCCCAACCTCCTGCCCTCTGCCCAGCTCTCTGACAGAAGGGAAGAAAGGGACTCACACGCTGTCTCCCTGGATGAACAACTCCGGCCGCTCTTTCAGCAAATTCTTCTTGATCCAGACAAGGAGGTTCCGGATGTCCCCTGGAGAGGAAAGCACAGAACAACCTATTGTCAAATCCAAATGATTCCTGGTCTCTAGAGCCTTGTCTGGACCAGAAGAAAGTGAACATGGGGCTCACAGGGTCTCTTTCAGACCAAGCTGTCATGGCCCTTGAACTTGTGGATTCCCAAGGCGAGGAGATGGGTTAGGAGAGGCCAGTGACCTGCCAGAGGGGTCTTCAGGGAAAGTGGCACCTGGCAGTGCTGAAGGCTTGAAGAGGGAATGGGGACTCAAGGGAGACAGCAGGAGGGACTGTCACATCTGGAACAGTTGGGAGACAGACCCTAACCCACAAGTCCTGGAAGATGGTCTGAAACTGCCACGGGTAGGCTTCTGAGAGGACCCTTTATCTCTCCAGCTAGTCCCAGATGGGGAGGACTCGACTTTGCACTGGAGAAGTCTGCATATATTTCCCTTTGTGAGGGAAGAAAAACAATTGCTGAGCTGATAACATCAGTTAATTTCCTCCGGCAGAGGGAAAGAAGGATCCTTCACCAGCCAGAGATGCTGACAAATCACTGGCTCTCTACTCCCCCTGCACAGAGCCCCCTAGGCTGGGGGCAGCCACCTTGAAGAGGCAAGAGGTTCAGGGTCGAAAGGGCCTCTCCTGCTCAGCTAGACACCGAGATCTGCCTCTTTGTGGTTCTGGTACAGCCACCAAGCTCTTTGCACATCACGTGGGGCTTCAGAGCCACCTGTCCCCAGGGTCACCTCTCCATTCCTAAAAGCAGAGTCCCAGGCCACAGCACCCTGAACCCTGACTTGCTAAACTCCTCGAAACCTGTGGCTCTCAACTATCCACGCTTCAAACGGACCATCTCCTGAGGCAACTTGAGGACGGAAGGTCCTGGGAGACCCCTAGTCTCTGGGAAGCCAGGAGGGGTTTGGGGCTAGCTACCCCCATCCTGAGTCAGTATCTCAGAGGGGTCTGCTGTCCTGGACCCATGGCCAAGACAAAGCTCAGTGGCTACACTGGAGAAGGGTTTCTCTGCTTAGACTTGGAGTCCTGGCGTGGAGGTGAGGGAAAGGCTGCTTGGACAAGGACAGGCTGAGCTCCGCCTCCATCTAGATCCAGCAGCATGTGACACACACAGCACCAGCCTTAGGCAGGGTATTCAGGCACCCTCGCTGGCCTGCATGCCACCCTTCCGAGAGGCAAACAGGCTGCCCTCCAGATGGACTGGTTCACTCTGTTCTGTGCCAACTTCCCTGGATTATACGCCAGCAGAACACAGGGCCACAGGCAGAGTGTTCATGGACTGAGACTGCTGCCTTTCAATTTTAATTCCTACTTTTAAACAAAGCAGATCGGAATCCTCACAGTCCCTGGAGTGGGCAGAGGATAGGGAGTATTGCCTCCAACTAGCTGCAGTCCATGTGGACTCCTGGTTGGGTTTCCTCCCCGAGGCCTGCGTCTCAGAGGTTTCCCCTTGGCCTCCATCTTGGCACTGTCTGGTGTGCCGCCAGCCCATACATCTTGTGGCCGCTCGATAGAGCCGCTGGGGTCTGACACATCCATCAGCCAGCCCTGGCGGGCGGGGTTGTGCCTGTGTGTACAGAGGCACTGAGAGGGACTGGGCAGTGCCTGGCCTGAGGGCCACCAGCTGTACCTCCACAACCCTGACTGGCCTGTACAGAACCAGGATCCAGTTTGGTAACAGCCCTGGCTCCCTCTAAAAGGAGGGGACTTGTGTTCCACTCTGGATAGGCTCGGGGGAAGGAGGAGGGCTAGTGGTCATGTTGAGGTCATCCAAGTGATGGCACCATCATGGAGTCCCAGAGGGCTGGGCTAGGGGGTGAGTCTGCTGCCGGTGCTGGCTCATTTATCATGATGCTCCTCTTTGCTGAGGTCATTCCCTCCCTCCTCTGCACCCCCCAGGCCAGTCCACATTCTTGATGGCCTGTTACCATGGTGAGGCTACCACATCACCACCCGTATTGTTCCCCTCTGCCTGGATTTGGGGGTGGGGAGAGGTGGAACTCAGCAGCTCCCTTCGCAGGCTACAAGGGGCACTCGGCCTGGCCTGAAACATACCCCCAGGGACATCTTGCTAGGCTTGCTGAGGCTCAGACAATATGCAAATAGTCTCCAAGCCAGATGGTCGGCTTCCAAAGGCACCCAGGGGAGGAAGGGTTAAGCAGAATCAGAAGCTGGTGGCTTGGGGACGGCTCTGGGGAATCTCACTTTCATGTTCCCCTGTGTGCTCCTGCCTTCCCACTCCTACTGAGGGGTTTCCCTCCTGGGATCCCATGCATTCATTCACAAGACAAATATTTATTGAGCAACTACTATGTGCCAGGTGCTAGCGAAATGGCGGCGAGCTAGACGGACACAGAGCCTACCTTTACGGAGCTAACAGGCCAGCAGGGGAGACGGACGTTACTTATTTAATTAGCTGTGACAAATGCTCTCTCCTTTGTGTGGGACCAGTAAAAGCTTTTCTGAGTATGCTAACATTGAAGCTGAGGCCTAAAGGATGAGTAGGGTGGGATAGGGGAGCATTCCAGGCAGAAGGAAGAACATACAGGAAGACCTGAGGCAGAATAGAATTGGCAGATTCAAGGATTCAGAACAGAGAAGGCAAGAAGATCAGCACGGGACGAAGGCAGGCAGCAGTGAGGGGTCAGATTACCCAGGGCATGGGTGGGCCTCAAGAAGGGGCCTGCTCTGGAAGAGGCCTCTTCCTCCTCAGAAACTCCAGGTGCATTTACCAAGTGTGTGCTCTGGGTACAGAACTGCACTGCCCAGGCCTGTGCTCCATGTTTCTCTGCCCTGACACGTGTAACAAGAAATGGCTGGGGGCCTGCCCGGTGGCACAGCAGTTAAGTTCGCACGTTCCGCTTCGGTGGTCCGGGGTTCGCCAGTTCAGGTCCCAGGTGCGGACATGGCACGACTTGGCAAAGCCATGCTGTGGCAGGCGTCCCACATATAAAGTAGAGGAAGAGAGGCACAGATGTTAGCTCAGGGCCAGTCTTCCTCAGCAAAAGGAGGAGGATTGGTAGCAGTTAGCTCAGGGCTAATCTTCCTCAAAAAAAAAAAAAAAAGAAATGGCTGAAATGTACAGCATTATCACCACTAGAGTGTGTTCTGAGGACACGGCACCAGCCACAGCACACAGCACAGAACCTTACAGATAAAACACCCTTGAGATGTTTGCTAAGCATGGGGACAACTGTGGAGGGAAGGGGGGACAGGTTAAGAACAGGGACTCAGTCCTGGTTCTGAGTCTGACTCCATCACTTCCCAGTTATATGACCTTAGGCAAGGAATTCTCTGAGCTTCCCTCTTTATACATCGGGAGCGGTAAGAATGTCTAACAGGGTTGTTGTGAGGCTCAAATAAGATGAGCCATATAAAGTCCTTGGCACTGTGCCTGGAATATCAGTGCTGTGCTGCTTCTATGATTCAGAGGAAGAACCTCTACCCTTCCACCTCTCTTGACGCCGAGAAGACACCAGAGTTTTATCCTGACAAGACCACGCTGGCCCGGCTCCAGGACACACACCAGGCCCTGGCACCATCTGCGTGGCCCCTGGAGTAAACCAACCAGGCTGGAGAAGTCAGTGGCTGGCAGGAGGGAGCCAGACTGGGCTAGCCCGGCCTGAGAGCCCCCAACTAATCCCCGTGCCCGCCCCCCCAATCGCCACCAGGTGCTGTATTTCCCTGACCGATAGTGGCATGCCACACTCACCGTGTCTTCATCACTACCTTCCTCAGCTAGCCAGAGTGGGAGGCTGGCAAGCCCACAGTACACCAGCACACGCCCCTATAGTGCTCACAGATTTTATTACAGGGACAGTGGTGGCAGCAGTGGCTTCAGCCTAGCCCACCCTCACCTGCTGTTTCTGGCCCAGAAGGGGGACGGGCAGGCTCACGGCCCAGCAGCAGAATCCTGGCAGCCTGGGGACATGCTCAGACAGCTTTGGAGGATGGGGTAGTCAACCATTAATCAGACAGTGCTGGGACTGGCTGGGGTTTTCTGTGGAATACACCACCTTTCCATCAGAAGCTGGAGAGGGAATGAGGGGATTGGGAGAGTGGTGAGGGGGCCCCAGACACTGGCCTTCCCTCCATTTTAGATGTTCAGACCCCTAAGATACTCCCAGGACAAACCAGGTGGAAGGAACCACATTCCGAGGCTGTGGATGCTGGAGGTTATACCGGCCCTGGGCACGCAGCACCAGAGGAGGGAGACAAGCCCCCTAATACGAGGTTTTCAGTGCAGGACTCCCCGGGACCTAGCCTGCCCATTTGGGGAAGAACAAGTGGTGGGAGTTGCTGCTCTGTAGGGCGGTGGTCAGGAATTCGGATTCTGGGGCTGGAAGGCTCTGGGCTGTGTGCTAGGTGGCCTTGGGTAGGAAGTCACTTCCCTCTCTAAGTCTCAGGCTCATCCTCTGACAAATAGGGATAATAATTTGAACTCCGAAGAGGCTGTGAGGATTCAGGCACAACGCCAGCAGCAGGCCCGGCACAGCATCAAAGTCACAGGACAAAGGTCCATTTGCCTACAGTGACAGAACTCTTTACCCTCTGGGCTGCCAGATCCTTCTCCCAAAGGCTGCTGGCAAAGGGGCACCATGCACGCCCCTCCTAGAGAGCACCTACAGAGGCTCCCCCCAGAAGCCCTGGTCTCAGTGGACTTGTCCTTGTCTGGGGCCACTGACCACCCACTGTAGCAGGGCCTCCAACGACGTCAATCCTAGATTCTCGGGCCAAAAGAGAATAATGTCAAGGTCTTATCTGATATTGAATCCGGCTGCAGCAGACCCTCGTCCAGCCCCCCTCTGAAGACCTCCAGGGAGGACTCTTCTCCCAACCAGAAATCTGTCTTCCTGTCACTCCCACCCACTGAGCCTGGTTGGTCCAGGGGGACCACACCAACCTATGTGGCCCCTCTTCCCACACCACTCAGCTTTGAGGGAGATGGATCCCCTAAGTCTTCTCTTCCATAGGTTAACCTGCTCCTGTCCCCAGCAAGTCCACCAGGCTCCAAGACAGGGCTCCTCTGGGAGCCCACCCTAGGCCTTAAGTTGAAAAGGGAGAAGAAAGAGCTGGGATGGGGGGAGTAAAAGAGACGAGAGGGTAGAGGGAACATCAGAGGGTCCATTTACAAGTGAATGGGGTAAGAAAGGAGCAGTTTGTGGGCTAAACTGGCCTCAGAAGGAGGTTTACAGATGTGTGAGGGGACGCTCCTCATTGTTTAATTAAGCAGAAAGTGGATCTTTTCAAAAGCAATTTTGCACAGGGACTGGGAGGGGTGAGGGGAGAGGAGGGCAGTGGGGAGGGGATCAGCAAACAGGCCCCAGAGCAGAGAAAGGAACAGCTGGCCCCAGAGAGGCTGTGAAATGCATGCTAAGCAGTTTAAAGCTCCCGGGAGCTCCCTCCAGCTCCTGCCGTCCCTTACCAGCCACCCTTTAATGTGAGTGGAGCCAGCAAGGGGCACAATGGCAGGGCAGAGGACGAGGGGCAGGGAAAGATGAGGCAGACCTGTCTCCTCCTGGGGCCAGGGCAGGTAATGAACGCACTGGGACAGTCTGTCCCTCGATGTTCTGGGTTTGCTCTAGGCCACTGACCAACCACGGGCTGGAAGCCTCGATTTGAGGGGATCCTTAAAGCATAAAACCAGCTCCGAGCGGCCACAAGCCCAAAGCTGGTGGGTACGTACCAACCCCTGCCAATGAAGGAGGTGCTCTGCTCCAGGAGATGGCTTTTAAGATGTTCCCCCTACACGCACAACCTCTCACTGGATCAGCGTGCCCTGCTTCACAGAATTGAATACTTACATCTGGAAGCAACTTTTCTGAACTGTAGGTGTCAAATAGATAACCAGCTCGTTAAAGACTAAATCTAGCCCAACCCCCCGTTTTACAGATGGGAAAACAGAGGCCTGCAGAAATAACTGATTTGCAATTGTTCACGGCCAGGGCTTCTCTCTTGCAGTCTCATCCCTTTTTGGCCTTGGCCACCATCTTCTCCTAAGTTGGCTGGGTTGGAAGCTCTCCCCTGGCCCAGAACCCAGGGCCCTGGAGTCCCCTTGTTTGTAAGACTTGTCACAATCCACAATCTTATGGCTGCTATTTTCTCTGCTGGAGTCTCCAAGACCTGCTTGGCCAAGTGGCAGCCCCTGGGCTGGGAAGGCTGCCAGACAACAGATCTGGGCACAAGCTTGGGGGAAAAGTAAGACTCTCCCAGTGACACCAGGCCCTGCCTTCCCGTTGGGCTCCCGTGTGCCAGGGTAAGGCCTGGCAGCCGCCAACTGGCTCTGCGGCTGCGATGTGACCCATGCCTTGGGCACAGCAGGGCAAAAATGGGAATAAGAGGTAGAGATCCACAGCCAAGGGCCCAAAGACTGCGCAAAGGGGCCATTTCGACTGCCCCCTCTGCTTCCTTTTCTTTCATCCCAGAGAGGGGAAGAGAGGCCCCCACCTGCCCCCTAGTCGGTGGAGGGAGGATGAGGGCTCACAAACCCAGTCTGAGCCCAGCCTCCCTACTGGAGCAATTCTCGACGGGTCACTCACTCTCTGAGGTCTGATTTCCTTGATGATAGATAATATCTACTGGGGTTATTAGGAAAATCAAAATAAATAGCTGTTGAAGGCATGAATGAATGAATGAAGGTGTAAAAAACCAGAAAAGACATCGCAGGTATGAGACGTTATGTGACTCAGGGAACCTCTCGGAATAAATGATGATGGGTCAGTGGCACAGTGCAAGGACTGTGGAGACCCTGAAATCTGGTTCTGAATCGCAGCTCTGCCATTTAAATAACTGGACGACTTGGGGTGAGACCCTTGACATCTCTGAGTTGCACTTCCACTTTTTATTTAGCTATTTAAAAAAAAATTTCTTTTTAGATATTATTTTTTTCCTTTTTCTCCCCAAAGCCCCCCGGGATATAGTTGTATATTCTTCGTTGTGGGTCCTTCTAGTTGTGGCATGTGGGACGCTGCCTCAGCGTGGTTTGATGAGCAGTGCCATGTCTGCACCCAGGATTCGATCTAACGAAACACTGGGCCGCTTGCAGCGGAGCGCACGAACTTAACCACTCGGCCACAGGGCCAGCCGCTAGCTATTTATTTTTAAAGATTGGCACCTGAGCTAACATCTGTTGCCATTATTTCTTCTTCTTCTCCCCAAAGCCCCCCAGTATATAGTTGTATGTTCTTAATTCTACGTCCTTCTGGTTGTGCTACGTGGGACGCCGCCTCAGCATGGCTTGAAGAGTGGTGCCATGTCCACACCCGGGATCCAAACTGGCGAAACCCTGGGCCGCCAAAGCAGAGCGCGAACTTAACCTCTCGGCCATGGGGCTGGCCCCACTTCCACTTTTTAAAATGGGAATAATAACACCAAGGAATTTGTGACAATTATTTGTACAACCAAATGGGGTTTTGCTTACCATGCCAAACTCAGCCTGTGCCCCTCATGACACTGGCCTCCCTTCAGTTCCTTGACCACCCTGAGGACTTCCGCCCAGAGGGCCATCGCAAGTGCCGCCGCCTTTGCTAGGAATGGACCCCATGCACCTCTGCTCTCCCTTCAATTTATTAGGCTGGCTTCTTCTCATCCTTCAGGCCTTAGCCTGAAAGTCACCTCCTTAAAGAGGCCTGTGCTCACCACCTGATGTCTCATTCAGAGCACCGTTTCTTATCCTCATGCCACTGACCACCACTTGCAGTTATACAGTTACACGTGTGTTTGTTCACTGCCTGGCTCCCCTTCTATCACACTATAAGCTCTGTTAGGGCAAGAACCACATCTGTATTCACTACTGCATACCCAGCAAGCAGTACAGTGGCTGGTACAAAGGAAGAACTCAAAAAAATACATGCCAACTACAGGGAAGAATAAAGTACTTACTACCACACCTGGCACTTGGTGAGCATTCAGCCAATGGATAAATGAAAAGAGCAGGAATTATTACACTTGTGGACTTTCAAGTCAAGCAAATGCAGGAGAAATAAATCATAAGTTGTGATATTTTAATAATTCCCTGGCCAGGTCTTTAAGGCTGAATCTTTGTGAGGCTTCTTCTAGAGCCCCTTGTTCCCTCCCAAGGCTGTGTGGCCATCTGTCAAAGTAAGAAACAGTCACTTTTATCACCCTGGGTCTTCCCCAATGAGGGACACACCCAATCCTACAACCCTGACATTTAACCCCAGCCTCATGCCCACCCTTAGCTCAAGGGGGCAGTATCCTGTTCCTTGGTGAGTGTCCCCCAGCCTCTGAATGTGGCACACAGACCCACCCTGTGCTACGGCTCTCCAACCCAAGGGAGAGTCAGAGGCAGCGTTGGCAGCCAGTGAATTTGGGCAATAATTGATTTCTGGCAGATGTGTGCCCCATTCCAAAAGAATCCTGTCAAACCTTACTTAACCACTTTCTGGTGCCTGCCTCCAGGAACTCATTCCCCTGCCTCTTCATAGGATTGATTTCCTCTTCTTCCCAGAAGTATCTCAGCCTTAAGTAAGCTGGGCTCCCATTCCTGAGCATTCTGCTCTCGCTAGGATCCACCGCTGGGGCTGCAAAGCACCTCCACAGTTGCAACATCCAACATCCCTTTCAGCTACTCTGATATTTACCAAGCTGGACCTCTGCAAGTGAACTCTTCAAACCCTCCAATTTGAAGGCAGGGACTGACTCTCGTTCATGTCTGTCTCCCCAGTGCTGGTACATGGTCTGCCCCACAGGAGGTACTTAGTATATATTGGTTAAAGAAAGATGAACAAGTACAGTCATGCGCTGCATAACAACATTTCGGTCAACGACGGACCACATATATGGCAGTAATTCCATAAGATTAGTAACATATAGCTTAAGTGTGTAGTAGGCTATACCACCTACTTGTGTTAAGTAAGTACACTCTGATGGTCACACAGCGACTCAATCGCCTAATGACACATTTCTCAGAACGTATCCCCATTGTTAAGCAATGCATGACTATATTTGAATGAACAAATGAAAAAACTCCACTGTCTCCTTTAGTCAACCTCCGTCCTCCAACCTCCTTTTTGGCTGGATACTTTTCTTCCCATCTAAATCCTCTTACCATAATGTAAGCCTATCTGCATTGTTCCATTCTCAGTGAAAGTTACCACCTTCACGAGAACATCTGTCTACTGCCATCTAATAATAACAGAGGCACATATAATAACATATAATAATTAATATAATATACTATATTATCGATATTATATTAATATAATTATATTGCATTTATATAAATAATTATATTAATAAATATTAATTAATATATAATTATATTAACATATTATATTACAATAATATAATAATAATAGAGTACTCCCTTTAGCAACCCTGAGACAGGGATTACCATCCCCACTTCACAGGTAAGAACACTAAAGCTCAGAAAGGTGCGCTCGCTGAACTAAGGTTCTAAGGGCATTCAAACTCAAGTCTGTCTGAATACAGAACCTGCACTTGTAAGGACTAAGCTACGCCATCTCCCTCCGACAAAGCTGGTTGATCCCAGAAAGGATGAGGGGAGAGTACATGATGATCCTCTCTCTTCCTCCCTCTCTCCTCCCTCCGCACCGTCCAGGGAAATCCTACTCATTCCCACTTGAACGGGGCTGAGTGACCCCTGTAGAGCAACTCCTGCCCATGGCCCCCAGAGAGGGGCTCAGAAAGCCCATACTCACAGGGTTCCTCTTGTCCAGGCAAGGTGACCTGATGTTTCTTTACACCATCAAACAGGAGCTCCGCGCCGCCTCTGAAAAGGAGGGCCAGAGAAAGACAGCCAGGTGAGCTCCTGCAGATGCCTAGCTGAGACCGAAAACTGAGGAGGCGGCTGGTACCAGAGGCCCAAGAGACGCAGAGACCGACATGTGAGAATACCTTGGGTACCAGTACCTGATTCTCAGACGTGACTTCCTGACGTGGTAAAGTAGGATAGAAATAATTTTTACTAAGATTAAAGTCTTCAAATTTGCAGACTCTTGTTTTTACTCCTTTGCTTTCTCAAGAGGCGGCTTAGCTTACAGGTGCATATAGCACAGGCCTTGGGGCTGTTGCCCCAAGACGGAAGCCAAGGTCCACCTCTGCCTGACGGCAAGACCTTGGGCACATGACTTCATCCTCTCGAGCTTCAGTCTTTCCATCTGCGAAAATGTTGAGAAGCCACCATAAGGCAGGCTGGAGACCCTGTGTCTCTAGAGGTTTCCTCTGACGAGGTGGCGGTGTGAAATGCCCCTGCTTGTGCCACCACTGCTGGCCTGGTGGGAACACCACCGTGCTGGAGGATAAGAGACTCCACTGGGCTTAGCAACAACTTTGCTATTTACAAGATCATTCTTCATCTCATTTCATTCTCAGGGCATCCCGGGGAAGGAGGGAGGGAGGCAGACATTATTAACCCCATCCAATGGAGAAGGAGACTGAGGCCCAGAGAGGTTAAGCAACTTGCCTGAGGTCAGACAGGCAGTGGCTGAAGTAGGATTTGCATTCTAAGTGGTTTCTGCTCAGCCCCAGCAGCCTTGGCAGAAAAAACTAAGACTCTCCAAAGGTCAGAAAGCCCCTTGAGGGCAGAGTTTGGTTCACTTCTGTGTGTGTCACCCAGCTAAGGGGACGCTGGGACAGCAGAGATGCTCAGAGCCAAGTCCAGAAGCCAGGGCTTATGATGTGGACACCAGGGCTCTTTCAGTGTCCCCCACTGCTTCTCCCTCTAGGTTTCCTGATTCCCATCTCAGACTTCATGTGTATCTTAACCGAGAAGGCCTTAACAGACTTTTGATGGATGCGTTGCGTCCCACCCCACCACTCTTTCCCAATTTCAGAGAACAGAGATGTCCTGAGACAGTCCACTGGGAGGCCAAGGCAAGGCAAGCATTGTCACGGGGAAAACATGGGGCGACTGTCATCCAAACAAGGTCACACTTTGTTGATGCAGAAATGTGGAGGGGGAGAGGAGGCCCATCTGTGGCCGCACGCAGGGCCATTTCAGCTGCAAGCCGGCACAGAGCCTCCATTTATCCCCTTCCAAGAGCCCCGTTCTCTCCTGGGGGGAGGTTGGCACATGCAGCAGCTGGGGTGGGGGAGGGCGACAGGCAAGGGGCTCAGGAGTTGGGGGACAGAGAAGAGGGGTGGGAACTGGAGGCACTGAGACCCAGGCAAACAACCAAGAGTGGCCAAACCTGGTGGTGCCAGGCTCGGAGGCCGAGGCTGTTTTTCTCTTTACAAGTGGATAAAGGGAGAACCAGTCTGGCTCAGAGAGTGACCTGTCACCGCTGGGTTCACTAGCCCCCAAGGGAGGGGTTGGCAGTTCTGCTGTCAGCACATCTGGAGGAGAGGAAGGTACATGCATGTCCAGCCTCTGGAGTGATTCAAGGAGGCAGGCAAGGGACCTGTTTTGGCCCCAGGAGAGAATCAAAGCTAGACTCTCTTATGTCCTAAGGAGGTGCTGTTCAAATTCAATTAAGAATTATATCTTAAGATACCTCATCTTCCCTCCACTCCCCAATTCTTGGTGGGAGTGTTTGTAGGTACCAGGGACTAGTAAAGACATTCCCAAAACTGCCATCACTTTTTCTAGTTTATCTTCATCCTTTTATCTTATAGTTTAAAATTTTTGTTTATTTATTTCCCCTCTACCTGCTGGAATGCAAGCTCTGCCTAAAATGGCCTGGCACACGGTAGGCACTCAAGAAATAGTTGCTGAATGAATGAAAATGCCCACAGCTTCCACTTCTTCTCTAATCTCAATGGGATTCCCTCCCTTTGCCAATACCTCCCAGACTCAGGAAGGAGGAAAAGGGAGAAGAAGGAATCTCACATCTGGACTGCAGGGACACAAAACACACCTGTACTACATACTGTGAATCCTGTGTGGCCTGAGAAAATGCTCTGCTAGGGACAGTTCGGGAGGCAAGACAAAGGATGGCAGTACTGACCACCGACAAGAGGGAGAGAGGTGTGAGAGGTCTTCTGGAGAGCCTATCAGAGCTGGTGGGGCCGAGAGGGACACATCTGCTCAGGGGAAAGAGGGAAAGTCCTAACCCAGACTCTTCAAGGCTCAAAGTGGAAGTCAGGGACAAAAGGGAGAGAATGATGGGCAAGGCTGCTTCTTTGCAAATCTCCCTTGGTTCAGAGTGAAGGGTGAAGGAAGTCTGCTAAGAGACACAGGAAATGAAAGAAAAGGCCAGAGGCAAAAATTATGTACTGAGACAAAGACAAAGAGAGAAGGAATCTGGGTTTGGCACACATCTTGGGCCTTCTTGGTTTCCCTGAGAAGCTGGAATTCTCATGGGACACTGTGGTGGTGGGTGGATGTGTTAGGAGCTAGGCAGATGGGTGGAGGAATGTTGACCTGCCTTGCCGGGGCTCACTATTGCTCTCGGGGGTAAGGGAGGCTGAAGCTAGAGGTGGTCAGGCCAGAAAAGGGGTAATTAAGCTAGTATGTAAGCTCTGGAGGGCAAGAACCATATTCCCTCATATGACTTCCTCACAGCTGCCAGCACAGTACCTGGCAGACAAAGACATTTCTAGTGAACAAACACCATGTCTGACTCAGTGAGAATGAAAGGTAAGCTGACTATAGATAAACCTTAACACAAGCAGTGTGCAGTTTCTCCCTTCTCAGCTCTGCTGAGGTCTATCAATGCAACAGGGATCCTCCTAGAATCCCCAGGCTAAGGGGGACACGGCTGGGCCACGGGCCAGTCCAGTATCGTTACCATCAGATCCAAGGGGCCAGACAATATCGTTAATTAAAATGCACTTAACATTCACGAGACTACCCCCTTCTAAGGGACAGAAACGCTGAACACTGGAGGGCATGGACAGAGTTCTATTTATCTTTGTATCCTCAGGGCCTGGCTCACTGCCTGGCACATGGGAGACACTCAGTAAATGACTGGTGAATGAACTAGCCAGTGAAGGGAAGACATGAAAGAAACTGGGGGCCTCCAAGGGAAGGAAAGGCATTACGGGCAGAGGTTTTAGATTCCCATCCCAGACTTTCCCTTTCACATAAGCCTTGGCTTGTTTATCTTCACACACACACACACACACACACATCAAATCCAGTCCCAGCTTTTCCACATGACTCTGGAAATTATACTATTCATCTCTTTGGGTCTCAGTCTCTTTGCCTTCTCTCTAAGCTCTGCAATTTCTCTCAGCTCTGAAATAATGACAGACATTCTGTTTGTAGTGGGGAGAAGACAGTGACTTGAGGAGACTTCCTCTGACCCGTGTTTCTTTAGTTATTGGTGTGTGCGCCCCAATTCCTGCACTTTTCATCCTGTGCACACCGTACTGTCAGGTCTCCTCCGCTGCGCTATCTTACTTATCCCCCTCGCTCCACCTGACTCAAGGTCTGCAGAAGGCACTCAGCAAGTTTACTGAATGTCCTGAATGGGGTTCAGGTCTGTTTAACATCGCCAAATCCTGGGATAGTGAAGAAAGGAGTCCCGTCTTGGCCACACATCCCACGAGAAACAAAGCTCCAAGAACCATATAAGTGGAATTGCTGCCTGAAGGAAGAATCAGGGAGTGAACGATGGTCCTTCTCGGTTCTAGGAGCTCTGATGCCAGACAGACGGGCCTGGTCCAAAACGGGACTGGCAAAGAAGGTAGGGAGACTGCTTGCTTAACCCTCACGCCTTTCGAGTCCAGCAGGGCACAGGGCACCAGGGAGTGCCCGAAGCGTACCTCCACGCGCGGTCGTGCGCCTCTATTCCCGGACATACGGCCTCGTCGCCAAGGGAGACCGAGCCTCTCAGACTCCGCGAGGCTGGTGGAGTAGCTCAGGGAAGGCGCCGGGAGGCTCGGAGATTCGGTCGTGACAGGCCCCAAGGCAGAGGGAGGGGAGTTCCGGGCCCGACAACTTCAATCCATCCCCACGGTGCCCCAGCTCTATGACTCACCCGAACTCCACCTCCACTGACAAGGGCGCTGCCATGTTGAGGAAGCCGAGCTCGCAGGAAACTCCCTTCAACTTCCGGCCCTCCCGCCCCACTTCCGGTCGCCGCGAACGGAAGAGGCGGCACCCGGGGGGGGAGCCATCGTCCTCAGCTATTGGAGGAAGCCTCGGAGCGCGGGGCGGAGGACGGGAGGCCGCGGGCGCTGCTGGGGGCTCGAGTTGCTCCCCGTCTGCCGTTTATGGAGCAGTGCAGAGAGCCCGGGTGGGCTGGGACTTGTACGAGCTATCGCTGGGTGGAGGGGAGTGTGACTGTGAGCATAGCGACTGTGAGCCATATTACTGTTTATTTGCATTAGTTACAAATGTCTCTCCAGTCCGCGCACCGCTTGGGCGAGCCTGTCCCCTCGTCTTGACCGGAGGTATAAACGACCCCCAAATCTTTATTTCCAGCCCAGAAATCTCTCTCCTGCGCTATCGACTCGCTATCCAACCGCCCCTTTCGCTGTCTATCTGGACTTCACTCATTCATCAGATAATTTCTTGCACGTCCTCCGTGTGCCAGGCGTTTTGGTCGGTGCTGTGGATGAAGTCAACTGGGTGGGCAAGGTTCTTGCCTTTAGGGCGCTCGCAGTCTAGTGGGGGAAATTAGCTCTAATCAAATAAACGTACCAATCATACTACTGTAAATTCTCAAACTGAAAGAAACGATCTGAAGTTAAAGGAACTTTAAAAAGAAAACGGACTGGACTAGATTTGCACTGAGCTCTAAAGCCTGAGTAGAGTTAACTCGGTGGATATGAAGGGAGAGAAACTTCTGGGAGCATTCCAGTGAGAACAGAAGGTGCGAGACTCTGGGTGGAGAACACGCTGGAGCATCATGAGAGGAAGGTAGGAATCGGGGAGCAGAGGGCCTGGTAAGAGATGAGGCTAGAAAGGTGGGCAGGGGTCACACTATTCCTTATGAGCCAGGTAAGAACTTCAATCTCTAAGGGCGATGGATGGCCTTTGAAGGGTTTGGGACGGGGTGACATTAGAACTGTGTCTTAAAATATCCTTTCTGGCTGCAGTTTGGACAATAGTTTGGAGGGGAACAAGGAAAGAGGTAGAGAGACCACTGGAGCCTGTTCCAAAAATCCAGGGCAGAAATGGAGTGAAGTGGATGTCTCAGGGTGTCTTTAAGCACAGCACTTCCAAAACCGAACTCAGCGTTGGTAGAGTATGGTCGTGTAGCCTGGTGGTTAAGGGCGGATATAATGATGTACAGACGGTCCTCGACTTATGATGGTTGGATTTAAAATTTTTTGTCTTTACAACTGTGTGAAAGCAATACGCATTCACTAGAAACCTAGCTTTGAATTTTGATCTTTTCCTGGGCTAGGGGAAGTGTGGTACAGTACTCTTGTGATGCTGGGCAACGGCAGGAAGCCTCATCTCCCACTTAGAAGCTGGATCACGAGGGTAAACAACCTCTACACTTACAACCACTCTGTAGCCAGACCACCATTCTGTTTTTCACTTTCAGTATTCAATAAATTACATGAGATATCCAACACTGTATTATAGGCTTTGTGTAGATAATTTTGCCCAACTGCAGGCTGATGTAAGTGTTCTGAGCACATTTAAGGTAGGCTAGGCTAAGCTATGATGTTCGGTAGGTGAGGTGTAGTAAATGCATTTTCTTTTTTTTTCTTTTAATTTTTTTCCTTTTTCTCCCCAAAGCCCCCCGGTACATAGTTGTATATTCTTTGTTGTGGGTCCTTCTAGTTGTGGCATGTGGGACGCTGCCTCAGCGTGGTTTGATGAGCAGTGCCATGTCCACGCCCAGGATTCGAATCAATCAAACACTGGGCCGCCTGCAGCAGAGCGCACGAACTTAACCACTTCGCCACAGGGCCAGCCCCTGCATTTTCGACTTACAGTGTTTTCAACTTACAGTGGGTTTATTGGGAGGTAACCCCATCGAAAGTCAAGGAAGATCTGTAATCACTAAGAGCTAGGAGTTCAACTGCCAGCTTTATATCCAGGTCCCACCATTTTCCCTAAAACAGGCTCTCCCCTGTCTTCCCCATCTCAAGAAGACCACTGCCATCCCCTGGAACACCCAAGCAAGAAACCCTGGACATTGTTTTTAATTCTCTCCCATATCCAGACAGTCACCAATTTGGATTTGTCTTGCTTCTAAGCTGATTTAGCACCCAAAATTCTTCCACCACCACCACTCCCATCACCTCTCACCTGCACCTGCTTCTCTGGCCTGCCTGCCTCCCACCTCCCTCCCTCTGGCCTTGGCTTCCTTGTGCAGTTCAACTCCTGGGACAGCCCTGAGCCCCTTCAACGTACCAGGCATCTTTCCAGGGCACTGGCAAACTGAGGACAAATGAGACATAGCCCTGGTCCTCGAAAAGTACAAAAGAATCCTGTGGTAAATGGAAAGGCCCCACAGTCTCCGTGCTGTGTGGTTAGGTCACTTTCCGCTCTCTTAGTTTCCCCAATCTGTAAAGAAGGCATGGGACCAAATGATCTCTTAAGGTCCTTTCAGCAAAAATATTCTAAGATTCTTCCAATGGCTCCTCCAAGCCTGAGCTCTAGAAACCTTGCCTGATTCATCTTTGATCCTTAGCTCATAGAAAGGAGCTTTATAGTTGTAGAGGTTTGGTAAGTGCTTGCTGAATGAATGAAGGAGTGAACACATATCACTCCTGCTCAAAGTCATTGAATGGCTTCTCTTTGCCAGCGAGGTAAAGGCCTACCTAGAGGGCATTCAGAGCCCTTCACAGCTTCTGTTCCTAGCTTACCTCCATGAATTGACTATCCTCTGACCCTGGGAGCTGCTGTCTCCTGGGTCTGGAACAGGAGAGCTGGGGAGCATTGGAAAAGCTTCATCCATTTGACAAACATTCATTGAGCATCTATTAAGTGCCAGGCCCAGTGCCAGTGCTGGGAACACAATGGCGAACAAAACCAGTGGGTCCCTGCCCTCCTGGGGCTGATGTTCCAGGAAAAGACATAAACCACAGTAAAAAATGGCCCACAAAGTGCAATCAGTGTTATGAAGGGGGCACATGGGGGGCTGTGGAGCTGGAAGAGGCCCCCTCATCCAGCCTTTGTGATCAGGGAAGGCTTCCCAGAGGAAGTCACCTCTAAGCCCAAGTCCCAAGGAATTGTGGGAGATGGAGGGGCATGTGGGAAAGCCAGAGGCATTCCCTCCTCCCTGCACATCTCAAGAGGCAGGGAGTCCTCCAGCTGCTTCTTGCATAGCCCCAAAGACTCGGAGCTCACTTCTGGGTAAATCAACCTATCCTGTGAATGCCTGGCTCTCGCTCCAGAAAGCCCTTCCTTCTCCTGCCCCTAAGCCTACCCTACTCAACCTCTAAAGTAGTAACAATAAGTCTATCATACATTCATTCAACGAGTATTTATTGAACACCCACTTTGCACCTGCTAGGTGCCGAACATACGTTGCCTGATTGATTCCTCGCAGGGACTATTATCATCCCCATTTTTCAAATGAGAACACGGAGGCTCAGAACTGATGGCTTGCCTGTGGGCCCATGAGGCCTCAACCCCAGCCTGTGGCGCCTTCAGGATCCCTAACCCCACTCACTGACCCTCGCTGCCTTCCCTTGGCCCAGGTTCAGCCATCTGCCTTCCCCGGGATCCACGCAGAAGAAGGGCTTGCACCCCATCCTCTGTCCCCTTCAGCAGGCCAGCCAGCCGGGCGTCGGCCTCTATCCCCTCTGAAGCTCCTAGGGAGACAATGGCGGCTGGAGACGGGGGCGGCGAGGCCGCGGGTGCCCCCATGCCCGCTGCCCTTTGTCTTGCCTTGCGCGCCCCGGGAGGCTGGGAGGCGCCTCTCGCAGGCTTCCTCCTCCCATTCTTGTGCTAATTGGGTGTCAAGCTGAGATCAGTGAGAAAGAAATCCGCCCCGGCTTGGGTTAAACTGCCGCCAAAGACGAGGGCTGAGCCCAGAATATCATTAGGCGGGGAGGAAGCAGGGCCCCATCCTCGGGGGGGAGGGGCCAGCCACGCATTCAGGCCCCTTTGAAAGTCACTCGGTCGCCCCTCGTCGCCACCGCCTCAATGGGCCTCTCGGAGGTATTTAACCTTCTTCCCAGGAATTGAAAGTGATACACCAAGCTCTGGCCTGGGCGGCCACTTGCCTGTCCCGAGGGCGGTAGGACCTCCGGGGACGCTGGAGGCAGGGCCCCTCCAGCGTCCCCGGGTGTAGGTTGCATATGGGAACACGGAAGCTCCGGGGAGGGGGCTTGCATCCCAGTGCTGCCATTCACAGACTCTGTGGTCTGTGGAGGGACTTTGCTCTCTGCACCTCAGATTCCTCGTCTGTGGAATGGGCATAAAAATAGCAGCTGCTTTGCGTTATGGATTCAATGAAATAATGCACATAAAGCGCTGCACACAGCACCTGGCACATAGGAAGGGCTCCATACGTGGTGGCCATCCCAAGTGTCAGGAAGTGGGTTTGACCTGAAACAAGGATTTTCTAGCAGAGCACCCAGTCTCTGGAGGCGTGCAAGTAGAAGTGCCCACAAAGGATTCACTTTTCACTTTTTGTATCTTGCCTCCACTCTCGCCCCACCCCACCCCTGCAGCCTCCTTAACCTGCTGGCCCTTCACCTCCAAGCTTTTATGACTTTGCTGTGCCTTCTGTTTGGGACTCCCCCCAGCCCCCTTCTGGGATGGCTCTTCCTGGAAACGCCTCTCTGACCATGAAACACGCCCCCTCCCCCCGCCCCCCAATGCTGGGTAAGGGTGCAGCTAAGCCCACACCCTTAGCTTCTTCACTGCTAGCCCCTCTCCCCGCCCCCAGACAGTGGGCTCCCTGAGGGCGGATCAGGGCCTGGGGCTCCAGCTTACTCCCTGTGCCCCCCCAATCCCCTCTCCTGACAGAGTAGGCCTTTCAAATCGACTCCATAGACGAACTTACGCACGCGGTGCTTTGTAAACCATCATGCACCATATAAACGTCAGGAAATGCCTAATAAACAGTAGTTCTTGTCAGTTAACTTCACGAGCACGTGTTGAACACCTGCTACGTGCATGGAGATGACCAGAGGCAGAGAAGAGCCCCGTGCAGCCCAGAGGCCCGCGAGTTTCC